ACAAGAGCCGCTCCATTTGGATTCAAAATGTTGCCAGTACATTGTGTGTGTACCTTCTACTGCGACGCAGCATGCAACAGCCTGTCCCTCTGTTGTCCAATCCATCTTTTTGTTTTCCCTTCCAGGAGCGCAGATAAACTAAGGGGACAGCTACCCTAAATGCAGGGTTTTTTTTTTCTCTTCCCTGTTTTTCTCTTTACCTGTCTCAATCTCCCATCTTCTATTCTCTCCACGCCACTTCCCAGGTTTCTCTCTCTCTCTCTCTCTCTCTCTCTCTCTCTCTCTCTCTCTCCTTCTCTCTCCCTCCCCTTTCTTACACTGGCCCACTCCAGTGTCAGCCTCAAGCGCCTTCCTTTAGACACCTCCAAAGGATCCATCAAAGACAGAGCATGCATCTCTCTCTTTCTATCTCTCTTCCTTTCTCTCCTCTCTCCTGAGAATGGCTGATTACTGTTCGCTCCATGGGCTAAGTGGGGCAGATAGGAGCCTCAGCTGGAGAGAGAGAGAGAGAGAGAGAGAGATTGAGAGAGAGACAGTGAATAAGCAAAGGAGAGAGGATCCTGTCGACCCCCTCTCCTTCCCCCATGGGCATATCCACGTGCATCAGCAGCACTCACAACAACAAAAAAGCACTGCAAAACACACTACAAGCCAGCCCTAACACATCATCTATCTGTAGGGCAAAAAAAAAAGATCAGGCTCTTTATAAACATTCAGATGAAAGATGAAAAGAAAAGCAAGAATGCTAACACATGCACCTAAATATAGGCCCTAAACAGCCTAGACATAGGGTTTGAAGCAGATACACACAAGTCCCTAACAACGGGAAAATCAGCTGCAGAACAGGATGCAGCAGGCAACGGCAGAGATAAATCCTCTAAAACTGCAACTTACAGCCCAGTACCCCCGTCCATCCTGCCCCCTTTGCTTCCACCTGCCTGGACTGCAAACAGAAAAACTAGAAATGAGATGAACAACCTTAAATGAATAGCCAGGTAGGGGTGTAAAGGTGCATTCAAGGACGCACATAAACTGCGGGAACAAGAAGGCCTTGACCCCAAGCCTGCCTGGGCAACTGGTGGGTGACTCTGCTGTTTTCTGCCCCCCAATCCTTTTCATAACAGCAATTAATGTACTGTCATTTCTTCTCAGCATGTAAGAGTCATTCAATTTAAGTAACAGCAGTGTTAAGATGGTCAAATTATAATAAATCAGTAGCAACATGCACTGAACTCACACTAACACTCAAACGTGGAAACATACAAATCTCAGGAGCAGGGTGTGCAAGGTGTGGCATCATTATTGTCAACAACTCCTTTAGAAAACCTTTCAAATTTTCTGAACTCCTCTGCTCCTCTAAACACCTTCTTTGCTCTGTGTTGCTCCTCTTGATGGGGGGGAGGAGTCCCAGAGAGACCAATCAGGACTCCTGCTGGGGCATAGCCTACAACTTAAGAACACAGCACACACACACACACACACACACACTCACAAGACAAAAAAAATGAGAGGGAAAAAAAGAGAGAGATTTTTTTCCCCCCCTCTTATACTGCAGGTGTGATGATGTAGCCTTACTATGAGGCTCTGGTGCCAAGTAAGGGGATGGAGGAGTGTGTGTGTGTGTGTTACAGTGAAAGTGTGTGCATGTGTGTCTCTTCACACAGCAACATCAGTGTCCCATGAGAGTTCCCATACAGTGCGGTATTTAAGAAAGAAACAACCAGAAGCATCTCCTGTCTTGTGCTGACATTGACCACTGCTGAGCCGAGTATCGCGCACACACACACACACACACACACACACACACACACACACAGAGAGAGCGCATAGACCTACAGCTGTTTGTTATGTAATGATCCAGTGATCGTGATCCAGCTTCTCATTTAGATAATCCACCTCTTTCTCTTCTGTCACAGTCCTTAGCCGACATCACACACACACACACACACACACACACACACACACACACACACACACACGCACACGCACACACACACAGCTGTAAATTGGAAATAGCGAGCGTCTTCTTCACTAATTATTCGCCTCTCAATCTGCATGACATGCACACACTCCTAATTTTAGTCTACAGATTCCGGCTAATGCTGTAGCCTGCAATTAAGGCTAAGGATTTAAAACAGGAAACGCAGCCAAGGTAAGGAATTCATTAAGGCTATAGGTATAACTGTAGACAAATGACTGTATGGACTATAACACACAGACACACGCACGCACACACTCGCACATCTGCAAACAATCATGTAACCTCTACTCACTCGGATTTCCTCGCCAGGGCCAAGGATCGACAGAGGGTTGTTGTGGGGGTCATCGGAACCAGAGAGCGGCAGCTGGGGGAACTTCCTCCGTTTTCTGGGTCACTTTCAATCGGGGAAACCGTGGAAGGGTCGGCAGGGACAAGCTGCATGTCGCCCGGGTCCATTGGTTGAGGAGGAGACGGCTGGACCTCCGGAGCCGTCTCAACCCGTGCTGGTGCAGCCGCATGGTCCGGCATTGACCCCGCCGCACTTGCACTTGTCTTGAGCTGGGGATCCTGAGGAGGGTGGTGATGAGGAAGACAGCTGGGGTCCGGGAGGTGGTGATGGTGATGTAGGTGATGGTAAGGATGCTGCTGCTGCTGTATCCTGACGTCCCGCAGGTGCCTGTTCTCGCCGATGAGCTCGTCCACCCGCCGGTCAAGCTCCTCTATCCGTGAGCGCTGCGTCTGGATGAGACTCTGCTGGTTCTGGACGATGGTGGTGAGCTCTCGCAGGTACAGAATCGCCTGCACCGGGTTTTCCAGCAGGCTGGAGCTCATCATACTCAAGAGTCGAGAAGGGAAGAGAGAGAGGGAGAAGAAGAAAAAAGCTGGACTGAGGGATGAAGGAAGGAGGAGAATCCTAATATCCGTGAGTGCGGATGAGAAGGGTCGATGTCCTTCCGCTCTCCTCTCCTCGACGCTGCCAGGTTGCGGATGAGGCTGCACGGACCGAGTTAGCCTCCGCTTCTCCGGTCGTTTCCCTCCCTCCCTCTCTCTCTCTTTCACTGCGATGAGTGGTGCTGATGAGAGGAGCCAGATCCAGATGTGACAGGAGGAAGGGGGAGGGGGAGGGGGAGGGGGGGAGGAGAGGCGCTGGAGGACTGATGCGTCATTACGCACACACACGAGAAGACTACAGAGCAAGCACGCACCCTATGGGCAGTAGACGAAGATTTAACATCTGAGCAACTTTCTTTTGCCTCTTTTACTGCACACAGCCTAACGACAAATAAATACAATCTGAAAAATCTGAAATGAGTAGGCCTTTATTGTCTAACAGCTTGCAATTTTTGTCATACCATTTTATGGAATAGAATAGAATTACTTTATTGATCCCAAACTGGGAAATTGTGGCGTTACAGCAGCAGGTTATCCAAACACACAATATGAGCAAAAAACACAATATTAGCAAATCTAAACACAATATAATATTAAATACAAAGTAAATAAGCACTAAAATATGAAAACTAAGAATGTGACTATATACAACCAGGATTTAACGAAGCATTACTAGTCTTAAATATGAAGATTAAATATGGAAGATTAAATGTAAATGTGCAAGAACAGTTGTAAATGGACAGTATTGACATATGTTAAAGGATATAGGTTCAGCCTTTAAGGGTCCTAGCGTAACATTTACCCTAACTAGAGACATTTTGTTTATAGTTAGGATAAGTTGTAATCAATCATTGAAGTAACATTCATTATTTAGTGGTAAGTAGGAAACTCATGAATGTTTGCAAGGTGTTTACAGTATACTGATAATGGTTGCATGTAAATAATGCATTTAAATATTTAAATATGATCTATTTTGTTAAAAGAAAGATGTCAGCGCCCTTATATTTGTAACTCTCTGTTGTAAAAGCAACCTCAATTTAATGGCTGGCGTTCATTGACATCATAGACTGTAAATATTACTTGACATATATACATATATGATATTTCAATAATAATAATAATCTCATTTCAATAATGCTACACACTGTGTGTGTGTTTTTAATAACAACAACTCTTTCCACAAGTGGACGTGTAGTTACTGTGTAATTTTCCATTATTGTATTTTTTTATTTAACTGATGTAAATATGTTTGCTTTTTAACTTCTATTTTTATTTTTAATTATTATATTCCTGTCTCCTGTTTCTTGAGCTGCTGTAATGCAAAAATTTCCCCCATGGGGGAACAAAAAAGTTTATTGTTATCTTATCTTTTTATGGTTCAAACATGTAGTCTATATTATATAACATTTCATTATATTACACTATATTGTTCATATTGCACTATATTATATTATATTATATAACTGCACTCTGCATTACTGTGGTACAACACTGCCTCTCTTCTCTGCTGTTTTTACATTACTTGCTGCTATTTATCACACCAAGTCACTTTAATCATCACTTGTCACTTTATCTTGTCATTCTTTGCAAATACTGTCTCACTTCCCTGCACAGGCAAGGCAAGTTTATTTATGTGGCACATTTCAACAGCAAGGCAATTCAAAGTGCTTCACACAAGACATCGAAAGCATCACGACAGAGGAAAGAAAAGAAACATTAAAATAGAACATTTAAAAATCACTGAAATTATAAAATCTGAACATATGTTCAAATAAAAATAATTCAAATGAAATTAATTGAAATAAATAAAGTAAAAATATAAAAAGAGTTAAAATTTAAAACCTTATTAAAATTGTTTAATGAAAGGCAGCTGCAAACACGTGTGTCTTCAACCTCGATTTAAAAGTTAGTTAGTTAACTTCATCATTCATTTTGTACTTGAACCCCTGTTTTTATTTTTATTTTTATTTATCTTATCTATTCTGTTTAATGTGTATTTTGAGCTTTCTTGTCTGTACTGCGGCAACGCCCGAATTCCCCCTTCTGGGGATCAATAAAGTTTTATCCTGTCCTATATGTCCGAGGGAAAGTGAAGCCCACACGTGATTCCTGGGTTTTGTGACGTGCGACGCGGATGCGGAAGTACCAGGGAAGCACTGAACCGTTGTTTTGCTAATCAGTAGCCCGGATGCTATCACCTACGGCAGAGCTCCGTGTGTTTTTTTATTTATTCGTAACCGAAAGCAAATTAAAACATCACCCATGGTCAGGTAAGAGGATTACAAAGACTCGTTTTTAATCACATCTTTGTGTCATATCATCACAACATGTCTTTAAGGCTGAGGGAGGGAGGTTGTTTGTTTACGTTTTGTTGTTTATTTCTTAAAGATATAAAAACAGAATCATTGAAGGTCAGCTGTCAGCTATTGATACAGATATAAATACAAACTTTAGGCCTTTAAAACATCGAAACATACATATATCACAGCTTTTAGTGCGTTTTATATCCTACATCCAAGTCCTGTCATGTGAGGGTCAGATGACAGGGGTCCTGTGGTGTCGTGTGTTATCATAGGGCTGATTAAAGGGTTGGTTGATTATAAGGTGGATTAAAGGGTTGTTATCACAGGTATCACTGGATAAAGTTGGCAATTTGTGGTGTTAGATCCAACATGTGTATAACTGTTTTCATTGAGGTTTCATATTAGTGCCAAAATGATCAAAATGTGAAGCTCATTTTAAGAGTTTTGGAAAAGCAACACTTTGCCTTGTTTATGTGTGTTAACTTAAGTGTGTTTCATTTATTCTAAATAAAAGGATGACCCAGAAGCACTGCCTGGAGGGCCAGGTGTACTCGGTGCCGCTCATCCAGCCGGACCTGAGGAGAGAGGAGGCGGTCCATCAGATAGCAGATGCTTTACTGTACCTGGAGACCATCTCTACGGATATCTTCAAAAGGTAAGTGAATAATAATGATCATTTAAAATGCTGCTCAAGTATCATTCAGTTTAAAAGAATGTGTAAAGGGGAAATTCTGATTGTATTTGAGTTAATCTAACGGATCGTATTTGATTGTTTCTGTATTGTTGAACGATGAAAGAGAAAACAACAGGTCAGCCATCTCATTCTGTTTAACAGTATCTTGTGTTATTATAAGTTTTCTTCTTCCTGCTCCTGTTTGCTCACGAACACTGTTTCAGTATTACGAGAAAATATTTTTGTTGTTGTGTTTTGTTTGTGTTAATGTAATTATTTAATTTCATTTCATTTCATATTTGATTTATTTGTGTACGGTTTCAACACATAATACACAACAATAAAAATATTTTCTCATAATGCTGAAACACTGTTCATGAGCAAACAGGAGCAGGAAGAAGAAAACTTATAATACCTGCCCCCCTTTTCCTAATAACACAAGATACTGTTTAACAGAATGAGATGGCTAACCTGTTTGTTTCTCTTTCATCTTTCAACAATACAGAAACAATCAAATACAATCAGTTAGATTAACTCAATACATTCAGAATTTCCCCAGAACCTAAAAGTACAGCAAAGCTAACGGCTTTATATAGTAAATATTAACAGCATGGGCATGTCATGGTTTTGCCATTGTAGTGAAAAACACGGACTACAGGACTTGCTCCATCACAATGGAATATATATATCATGTTAAGATCATGCTTAACTAGGCGTGCGTCAGTCGTGTTGAAATAATTTGCTGAGCTTAATATATTGAAGAGGTCTGAGGAACTCAACATTCAAAAGCACTCCTCTTGTTTAGGTCGCAGGGATCCAGATAACTTTTAGAGCCTTGGAACTTCGTTACAGCTTCATCTGTCAAATTATTCTAAGTGTAATTTAATTATATGTTTTTAGTGAATAAGAAAAATACATTTCAATGTGATAGAAAGACGATTAAAAAAAAGAAAAAGGTACGGTCAGTTACTCACGATTTCATTCTAAGATTGCCAGTCAGCAAAAGAAAAGAAACAAACAGAACAGCAATTGACAAAACAGCATCTGTTACAAGTATATCTGGACATGCCATGTTATAGATGGTAGAATATTTCATGTGAAAAAGAGGTCACACTTCTGCACTTCTGGTAAAAAAAAAAGGTGGAATCAATTATTAATCATATTTTGTTCCACAGCAGTCGTTTGATAGGAAATGATCCGGTCTGATCCACTAAAAATACAGGAAGTGTCTCCTGTAGCTACATGAAAGGTGTGACATTTATGAACAAATTGTTTCAACGCTTTTGAAAGATGATGGGTTTGTAATTGGAAAAATGATGTCAAAGGATCAACTAGGAGCTGTGTAATGGTTGTGAGTCAGCACACTGAAGAAACAAAAACAATGTTTAAGTTTAACCCCTCTCTATGTATCTGTGTGTGTGTGTGTGTGTGTGTGTGTGTGTGTGTATGTTGTTTCCAGGGTGTCTGACAGTGTGGAGAAGAACCGCCGCCAGCTGCAGAGCGTCACTGACCGGATCAAACTAGCACAGGCTCGTGTTGACAAGATCAAAGGAAGCAAGAAGGCCACTAAGGTAACACAGCAGCACCTTCACTTTGGAGAGAAGCTTTGCTGATTGCTCCCGTGATTCACAATAGAGACGCAGTAAAATGACCAGATGTATTTAAAAAAAAAAAAAAAAAACCTTTCAGCCAGTCATGTCAGCTTTTCTCTGTGTGTGCAGGTTTTCTCCAGTGCCAAATACCCGGCCCCTGATCGACTTCAGGATTATTCATCCATCTTTACTGAAGCTACAGACCCCTCCTCACAAACCCGCCCCCGCTTAAAGATCCAGAATAAACTTAGACCATTTGATGAGAAGGCCTTACAGGTGAGGTCAAATACATGGCACCTCAGTATGACACTTTTTTTTCTTTTAAAGCTGAGCCTGCTAAAACTTTTGGGGAGAACATGGATACAAAGAGAAATGATTTATTTCCATCAACACAGCTTTTGTGTTCCTGCTGAGAATTATGATCAAGCTCTCAAACTGTTATGACAAGCAACTCATATTTACGTAGTCCGCTCCACCTTTATTCATGCAGGTGTTCAGAGCTGAACCGCCATACACCTTGAAAGTCTCCTTCAAACACTCTGCTATAGAATTAGAATATACGCTACAATCTGCTTTTATATTAATGAGAAGCCCAATCTTTTCTGTCTTCTATCATTCAGTGTCTCCACAGCATGAAGGCAAAACATTCACTCTGCTGTTTGTACAAAGTGTTATTTATGATCCTGACATCTGAGTAATGACAGCAGGAATCAGATCACTCAAAAGATGGAGCCTCAGTAATGTGACCTGACAGTCATCAGCAGGGGGGAAAAACTCAACGTATCCAGATGACCTGAAAGTGTTTCACCTTCACATTTAAAAAAAAAAGGAGACAATTTAAGGTTATTGTAGCACCGGGTTACTCGATGTGTCCCGGCAGAAATACTTCATATCCTAATTGAACTCACCTTAGGACTAGGAAGAACCTTAATGATCCAGACCTCAAGCTTCAGCTAAACATAGATGGCTGTTTTTAATGTTTTTAAACCCAAGTTTACCAAGAATCACACAGAATTCACAACCCTGCTTTGAGGGGCCAAATGGACTGGGTTTTCATAGCGATTATTATGGAGCCAAAATATTCTGATCAGAAAATGTCTAAAAAAATATATATATATATTTATCTCTACCAGAAGGTCCTTACTTTATTTCAAAATAAAGCACAGTTCACAGAAGTTAAATTCCTTGTGTGTGTAAGCACACCTGGCCAATAAATCAGATTCTGATTCTGAAAATAAAGAATAAAGCAGGGTTGAATTCAAACATGCGATTAAAATTCCAATTACTTGTGATTTACCAATTAATTGCGATTATATACATTTTCTCTGACGTATAAATAAACCTCATGTTATGTCTGCGTCACTGATTGCACCGTGTTGGAATACATTCTGCATTTTGTCCCTAAGCAAACAAATCATTTTCTTACATGAACAGCTGTTTTCTCATGAGTAGCAGCATGCATATTAACACAACAAGGAGCTCTCTTCAGTCATCCACAATATTTTATCCATGTCAGTCTTGACTTTTTGTACAACTTTGAATGAATGTACTACCTGGAATCCACTAATGAGGTTTTATATCTGTTGTAATGGGTTTCATTGGCATGTGTGCAGAAAATTCCCGCCTTTTTTGTTTTATTAGTCTGGCCATGGCTGCTTAGGTTACACACTGAAAGATATGACAGATGTAGAGTAAAACTGTCCATTTTTAAACTATAATTATGTGTTTTGTAGCAAAGTCGATTCTTGATTAAGAGGTCAAAGGAGATAAAAAACAGACATGTAGAAAAAACAGTATGTGAGAACTCTCTTTAAGTGTGTTTAAGCTAAAAAAAAAAAAAACATTCAAAACCGGGTCGTGTGTGTGTATTGTAGGAGAGGGAAAAAAAAGATAACTGCAGGCAATTTCTCTGATGCTGAAATGTATTATTCAATATCTCTCCGGAAGCAGCTTCCCCGTCCATATCATTTGTTACTGCAGAGTAGTACTGCTGCGTCTGTGTTCAAGAGCACTTTGGTGGCATTTGTGAATTGATTCATTTAAGATTTAGTTGACATCTCACCGCTCTCACTCTGCGCCTGCATGTCTTCCTTTCAGGAGAAGTTGATGTATTTCCCGGTGTGTGTGAGCAGTAAGAAGAAGTCTGAGGATGAGACAGAGGAAGGGCTGGGCAGTCTGCCACGCAACATCTCATCCGTCAGCTCCCTGCTGCTTTTTAATACTACAGAGAACCTGTGAGTCGACACAAACATGCACAGATGCTCACTGTGAACACTGATTACATCTCAATCTGTTCTGCAACATCTTTTGATTCGTGTGTGTTTTTTTTTTCTAGATATAAGAAGTATGTGTTCCTTGATCCTCTGGCTGGAGCGGTGACAAAAACACACACTACACTAGAGACCGAGAAAGAAGAGAAGCCGTTTGATGCACCGTTGTCCATAACAAAGAGAGAGCAACTAGAGAGACAGGTATCACAATCATCCCTTTAAGACATACACACCTTGTTTATTTGTAAGTTTTCAGCTTCCTGTTGAGTATTTATATTTCAGATGACTTTATACTTGAAGCCCCTACATTCTCACATGAATGTGTGTAAGTTCTTCTCCTTACCATTTTAAGACAGTCTTGTTTCTTCTCCTTAATGCATTGGAGAGGAATGATCAATTCTTTGTAGTTTGCATCATTGCACGCTGCCTTCCCAATATCAAAGACGATTGCGACCTAAATGGGGACAATGCAAAAAAAAAAAGATTCCTTGGCGTATCCTTTAGCATTTTACTGATGATATAAATGCTTAACGGTAAATGGACTTGAGTTTGTACAGTGTTTGTTCACCTGTTCACACCACATTCACAAACTGATGGAAGAGGCTGCAGTGTAAAGTTTCCGTTTGCGGTGTAGTGTCATGCCCAAGCACACTTCCCACATGTGACTGCAGTAGCTGGGGATCGAACCCCCCGACCTTTTCGGGTTGAGAGATGACAGACTCTACCAGCTGAGCCACTTTATGGACTTAATGAAGATGAAGCAGATTCAAAGAAGCAACACAGTGAAGCATCTTAATAGAGAAATTAAAGTAACTTAAAGGGATGCTTCACCAGTTGAAACATGAATCTGTATTGACATTGGGTCATATAGTAGAAATGTGAAATACATTTTGAAGTTAGTGCCTTCTTGGCCGAGAAAAGGCAGAAAGTGTCTTTTTGGCTCATGTGGATGAAAGACACCAAATCCCAGAATGCACAGCATCGCAGGCCACTCCCACTGAGGTCCGAATCAGAATCAGAAATACTTTATTAATCCCAGAGGGAAATTCGATCGTTACAGTTTCTCCAAAATATACAATATAGCAGTAGAAATAAAGTAATAAAAACATTTACAGACATATTTACTTCAACACATACGGACATTTCCTCAACTGATTCAGAGATTTCTTCCAGAAGGAATTGGTATCTTGGAAATTCTATCTTGAAGTTTCCCTTTAAGTCCAATGGCCTCCTAAATATGACATGCACAGAAACATCCAGTAGAAGGTTTTTACTGTGGCTTACTTTTAAAGCTGAGTAGATGTCAGACAATGTGACTCTTTTTTACATTTTCACTCAAGTAAAGAAGTTGAATTAGTGATTTTACTTTCATTGGTCTTATTGAACAAGAACTGTCTTATTACTAAACCAAAGAATACATGAACTGTTGCACCCTCTGGAGAATTGTTTGATAAATTTAATGACTCACCTTGATCATCTTTTCTCCAAAACAGACAGCAGAGTCTTACTTCTATGTGCCAGACTTGGGCCAGGTGCCTGAGATCGATGTGCCATCTTACCTGCCTGACCTGCCGGGCATTGCAGACGACCTGTCCTACAGTGCGGATCTTGGGCCTGGCTTCGCCCCGTCAGGACCCGCACAAAACATCCCTGAGCTTCCCTTCTTCCCCGACGAGAGCATTGCAGCTGGTACGTCCCTGAACTCTCTGCACTCATCAGTCTTCTTCTGCTTGACATTATGTTTGAACGCTTTTTAATCCCTCCGTTTTCAGGACCTCAACTCCAACAGTACGTCCCGCCTCCTCCTCCACCACCTCCTCCTCCACCTCCACCCCCCGAGCCCGGCCTGGCTCTCCCCATTCCAACAGGAGCTCCGCCTCCTCCTCCACCTCCTCCGCCTCCTCCTCCAGTGGACGTCACCGCAGATGCCTCTCGAGCGCAAGGTTCAGGTCTGTCAAGTGCATGAAAATCAGAAATCTCTACCAGCCACACACTACACTACGGAGTTGGTTGACTACATTGAGGCTTCACATTGTATTGAACTGCTCCTCCCTTATACTCACAAACACAGAGGGCCTCATGGATTAATGGTAAACTCTTCCTCCTCTGAATGCAGGCCCTGTGGCTGGGGCACCCAGCGAGGTGGTCCAACCGTCAGACGGCAGAGCCAGCCTCCTAGAGTCCATCCGCAACGCCGGAGGCATCGGCAAGGCCAAGTTACGCAACATTAAAGAGCGCAAGATGGAGAAGAAGAAACAGAAGGAGCAGGAACAAGGTGTCGTATTGTTTTAGTGTGCATGTGGATCTTCTCATGTTTTATTAACCGCAGCACTTTGTCGCTTTCGCACTGATGAGAACGCCATGCAATTATAGGAGAGCACTGCAGCTGGCATTCACACGGGATGGAAAGGCTTCACGCCCCATGTGGGGATGTGAGCGATTATGTAGATCACCACAGCACACTGTGCTCCGTGACCTTTGTTTAATAAATGCCAACTTTATCAGGGGTTGACTTGGTTACACTAAACATATATTTGCCTTCACTTCTGGGTTGCTGGCCCACGTTTTATTTTTAGAGAGAACCTCCTATTCCAAGTAACAAAACATTTTTCTGTAATGATGTGCTCCACTTTAAGTGCACTGGGGAAAAGCAAAATAAAGCATAATTATTGAGTAACGTCCTGTCTGTGTCTTTCAGCGGCTGGGGCAGCGTCTAGTGGCGGTGACTTTATGTCCGATCTGTTCAACAAACTTGCAATGCGAAGGAAAGGTGAGGATCTGTTTTTTTTTGTTTTTTTGTTTGTAATAAATTGATGTTTGAAGCGAGAGATGCGTACAAGAAAATAATGTGTGCTGTCACCTCTTCAGGTATTTCTGGGAAGGGTCCAGCAGGTGGGGAGACAGGTGAGGCTCCTGCTGGTACAGGCGGTGCATTTGCCAGGATGTCGGATGTGATCCCACCACTTCCCGCCCCGCAGTCGGCCACAGACGATGACGACTGGGAAGCATGAAATGAAGGACAATGAAAGCACTCCGTCATGGATAATGTCGTGTAAAGAGCTTTTTCAAAATCATCCCATCTCATCAGAAATGGTCCCAGAAGAAGAAAAATAATCAATGAAACTCAATTGATAAACAATTTATTGATAATCATATTCATTGTAAAACATATTTTCATAACTCTTACAAACAAATATGATTAGAAGTCTAACAGAAATCGTCTTACTAACATCTCTCGATTTTAATAAACGTTTTTCATTACATAACAGCTCACATTGACCCTCTGGGGGTAAACCAGTTTCATTGATGCCCGAGTGTCTTATCTCTGCAGCAGATGCTTCAGTAATTCATTTCAACTTTCTGTTGTAAAAAAAATAGTCAAGGCTACCTTTTTGCCTCCAGTTGAATTTCAAGACATCACCAGAGAAACATCTGTCTGATAAACGCTCATTAGTTTAGCTTTGTGGCTTAAAATAATGTCAAATATATTCATTATTTTCTCATTTATATTCACATTTTTTTTACAGATGTGTAAGCAGAAGACTAGTAGCAGAGAAGGTTTGAGAGCTGAAATGTAAAACAGAACAAGAGTGATGGAATAAAAACAGAATAACTGCCTCCCTTGTTGGCCCTTGATCTCCAGCCGGGAGTACTCGGCCTCAAAATAAATAAAAAGTGAACCTTAAGCAGCACAAAATGGCTATCACAGGCCATGAAATAACCATTTGCTATTCATATTTTGATTAGAACATGTTTCATTTCTGAGGTTGCTGAACGTGCAGACTGAATGCTGTTGCGCTGGTTTTCTCCCGACGTTCTTCATCAACTCAGTAGTTACGTTGAAACTACACTTGCTTCTGCTTCTTCTCCAGGAAGAACTGAAAAAAAAAAAAAGGAAAAAATAAACAAGACAACATGTGAGTAACAGTTTGTCACGGTGCAGTGGTTTTGATTGAAGTGTACTCCTCACCTTCCGTAGGGCAGCGAAAGCAGAGCCAAACGAGGCGTGTGTGCTGGTGCGATCTTTGATCCACGCGGGAAGTTTAGCGAGCGTAGCGGGTCGAGAATAACGTTTGTCACACAGCACCATGGAGGAATAGTCGCCACGGTGACGGATAGCTCTTCCTTTTGGTAAAACAATCAAATACATATACTGTAAATGCTGATTATACTACAAAAAATCTAACTGATTAAATCTTTTTTTTGTGCTTTTTAAAATTGTATTTGTGGGAATATTTCATCAGTACCTATGGATTGATTGACAGCCTTCATGCACAGGTTTTCTATTAGCGCCTGTCCAGGGCTCCTCCCTCCACTGTGAGACTAAAAAAAAACAAAAAACTGATTACTCTGAAAGGTTTGGAGGATACCAAGCAGATGTTTCTGACAGTAAAGAGATTCACCAGGTGTTTGTCCAGATAAGACATCTTCTCCTGCAGCTCTGGAGATTTGATGTTGGGATACGGCATTCCCACCATCACCACACACCTGTCAGGGATGCAAACAGAAAACAACACTTAATATTTTGCACTTCATGCTATATAAAGCAGCTCACTGTCGATGTGTTTGTGAATTAATTCACACCTTCCGAGATCATCAGAGAAATTGATGCCCTCGCTCATCTTTCCTCCGACCACAGAGAACAACAACGCTCCGGTGAGCCCGCTGCTGTCCAGAGCGCACCTCTGAACAAAAAGAATAAGAGACATAAAATGTAAAGACTGTGGCTGTTAGCTGTGGCGGCAATCACTTTGTGCTCTGTGATGAAGGCTGATGTTTTTAGCAGCAACAGTCGTACCTGAATGCAGCGGGAGAACTCGCTCAGCACCTGTTCGACCTGGTTAGCTTTCTTTGGCTCTTGGAATATCTGAGAAAGTAGTTTTGAGAACATGAAGGGACTTTAAAAATCTTTCCTGCAAACACTTAAGACACCAACCTTGAGTTCATGTGTGCCAATGAAGATGTTTTAATAAAGGCAGGACAAGTATATAGAGCACCATTCATATACAAAACAATTCAAAGTGCTTTACAGAAAATGTATAACATTAAAGGTCACATATTATTCACGTGTGAAGTGTAAATAAGTCTCAGAGCTCCCCAAAACATGTCTGTGAAGTTTCTTGTTAAAAATCCACTCTGATCCTGTATTTGATCATGCCTATAAACCCCTCCATTTCAGCCCTGCTCAGAACAGGCTGTTTCTGTGTCTGTACCTTTAAATATGTAAATGAGCTCTGTCTGACCACGCCCCCTCTCTGGAAGGGCTTAGGTGGCTTGGGCTTTCTTGCACGATGCCCAATTGTTTACGGTGAGAAGACAGACTCAGAGGGCAGAACAACCACCTAGCTGTGGGAGTGTCACCCACCTGGGGGAGGGGTTACTGCCCTTTGTGATGTCATGAAGGGAAAATCTACAAACAGCATGTTTGAGCACACATTTTCTGAAAAGTGGAGCAGGCAAAAGACGGAGAGGATGAACTTTTCTCATAATTGGGGGGTTTGTAGACAGACTAGGGACACATTTTAGTGTTAGAAAAACATGGTAGAGTGTATTCTGCATAATATGTGACCTTTAAGAACAGTAACAGACATGTCACACTTTAAAAGACTCACATTAAAATATGAAAAAAGAAAATATAAGATAAAAAAAGAAAATGGCATCTAGCAAAAATAAGAACTAAAAGAACTAAGCTATTTTTTTTAAAAAAGGGCAAGTCATGCACCTTCTTTTTGTTAGCCAGACGAGTGAGTGCTCCGCTGGCCTCCCAGTGAGAAATGATCCGTCTCGAGTACTCGTAAGAAGGGAAGAAGCACACGACTCCGCCCGGGACCACGTTACAGATGTTGGAGAGAATACGCCCCGTCTCATCCATCTGTCAGCAAACAGGCACACATTATCAGCAGCTGTTTGTGTGGAAAGTGCAGCCGTATTTAGAAATATAACAGACAGCACTTGGTTAGACAGCATGTGTTTGTTACCATGCGTGGAGAGTCCCTGTTCTGAAAAGTGAAGTCCAGCTCCTGACCCGACGGACCGCTGCACAAGACGATGGGGAGAATGTTCTCAGGAGGAATAACATGACCTACACACCAAAAACACAAGACAAAAAGACGACATTTATTTGAATAACAAAAAATACAAATGTACACAATCAAACTGTACAAAACGTAAAATAAATAAAGGCTAATGTATTTCCATATTGGATTATTGTTTGTCCCCATAAAGTCTAATGAAATATAAACATGTCCCAATTCTGTGTGACACTGCCACATGTGTGACATGCAGCAAAAAACATTTTAAAATAATCCTTAATAAGGGTTAACCGTCTCGTATATGCTGCTGTTTTTAAAATTTTATCATCGTGTCCTTATCACTTCTGACACCATCCACCAAACCTGCTTTGAGTTCATGATGTGATTCTTAGATGTAGTCAATCTGAGTGAATAATCCAAACGTAAAAACAAGCTTTCATGCAAAAACAGAGTCTTATTAGAGTTTTTGAGAAGCATTATGCTATTTATCAAACAGAGTGTTTAATAGACACATGACTAAGAATTGAACTCTAAAAAAAAAAAGACACAAAACAGAAACTCCACAAAGCACTGCGGTGTCATGAAACAGGCCGCTCACCACAGGAAAACTCGGCGATGCGCTCCTCTCCCACTCCTGCAGAAAACAGCAGCTCTTGTTTGAAGTCTAAAACCTGAAGAACAAATTTCAGAATATAAAATCTTCACAGCACAGTTCATTTCGTTTTGTTTTTTTTTTAAATAAAAATGTACTTACTGGCTGCATGGTGCCTCCTGCGATGATGACTGCTCTGCACTCGCTCAGCACCTGGGCAAAGTGGACCGCTGGATTCAACAGCAGGAACTTGACACTACTGTCTGATAAAGCACCTGTATAAAAATGAGCAAAGTACGTTTTAATACTTTCCTTCATTGCTCTCCTTTATATATTGTTATGTTTGAAGTTTAAAGAGTTGGTACCTTGTCTTTGCACCACCACTCTGCCATCTGCGTTGCTGTTTGTCAGAGCCATAAAGAAGCCTTCGACCTGCATCATGGGAGACGCAGACAGCACTTTCTCTGCCTCTGCTGACCCCTGCTGGTCTGCTGAAGGAACTGCACATGAGAGCGACGCAAAGAGGATGAACAACAATCAGAAGAATGCTACACATACAAATCAGGGCTGCACAATAAATCACAGCGTTATCGTTATCGCAATATGAGCATTCCCAATAAACACAATAAATTAGAGGAATTATAATATTTAAAGAAGAAAATGTTTCTCACTAAGCATGTGTACATTTTACCTGTATAAGGAGACATGAGTATCATTACCATGGTTTCACAACATTTTGATGCTGTCAGATGAAACTCAAGTCAGCTATAAACTACCCTCAGATTAACTAGTGCCAGTTTTGTGGAGGGAAAAAATGTTCTTGGATTTATTTGGCTTCAGAAGCATCATGTTGTAAACACAGGCATTATGTAACGCATCGCAAAAAGTAGGAACAGCGCTATCAACACACTTTTATATTTGTTTATTTACCGCTCTTCATTCTTTGATTGAAATATTGAATAATGTAAGCACAGATTCTGCATTTTTACTTTCTGGTTCATGCACTATTATAAATGTCTTACTCCTACATTAATTATTTATCCTTTAGTAGATATGCAAGATTCAAATTTGGTCACTGTGCGCCACCTTGCTTAGTCGTTTTAAAGTTAAAACGTCTTCTCCGAGGGAAAGTGAATTTCAGCACATCTCACCCAAACTTGAATTAATGCCAAATTTATTTTTTTCTTGCACGAAATGTCTGAGGTGACGATATCCTTCCCCAGGCCTAGTTTTTAAATATATGGGTGATGTAAATATCAGCCCTCTGACCTGGTGAAGCGCTCTGGCTGCTCTGTAGAGTCTGAAGGTAGCGGTTTAATCCCTCTGTGCGTCGGTTCTCCTTGTTGGAGCTGCTCTGAGTGTGCAGACTAACTCCCGATCCTGCATACTTCTCAACAAAGCTGACAAGCTGCAGAGAGATGACAGGTGTGGATTATTTTAGATCTCGTTCAGAACAATGCTGAGGCCTGATTGAACAGCTACATAGATAGGATATGAAAACTTTTTTACTTTTCTGCTGATTAGGCTCTTCTCAAAGTATCTCTGTAACTGAAGAGAGAATGACAGTAACGTTAAAGAAAGCAGAGTTTGGAACATGAAAAAAAAGTGTCTAAGTGTCTAAAAAGACAAGGCCGTGATTTTAAAAAAAATAAAAAATACCTTGAACAAGTTGATGTTGTCAATTTGAGCCTTGAAGAGGAAGTTATTTATAGTTAGCATTTCAGTTCCTGAAAGATAAAGACACACAGCTGGTTGACGATTTCAGCTTGGATGCATGATGTCTTTTAGAATTTGTGCTGTTGATGTGAGTGCTTACTGACCTGTTTGTGTGGTCTGGGTGTGAGGATTTTGGCCGACCTTACCTGCCAGGATAACATTTAGGTCAGGAGGATAAGACATTAAGTATGAGAGACTGTGAGAGAATATGTGCAAACTGCTTACAAAGAACTTGAGTTTCAAATTAAATAATCATGAAGACATATTTGTAGTGTGATGTCAGAGTTAAGGATGACAGAGAATCTCAGATTGGCCAATCAGTCAACATTGTCTGTTTTGCTGTATTTTAATGTTTGTATGTCATTTTCAATTGGGTAAATTTTATTTGTGATTGTTATTTTTACTGTATTTTATTTTATCTTTGTTTAATCTCTTAAAATGAGGTTTTGAGGTAAGCCCTCATGGGTTTCTACCTCACCTGCACATGTGTTTTATTTTTTCTATTTGTTTTAATTTTCTGTTTGACTCTTCTTTCAAAAAATGTGCAAATAAACTAAACTAAACATTCAGTCATTAAATACTCATTTAAGACCTCACACACACACACACACACACTCACCTCCCAGCACACGGACGAGTCCCTCAATCACAAACAGGATCTGTTTGATGTACATCAAGTTCTTTGCCTTCAGCCTGCTCCTGAAGTCGTAGAAACATAAACATAAAGTCATGAAGCTAACAACAGTTTTGACATTTGTGCATGCACTGTGACAATCCTAGAGTGTTCGTACTCACCTGTAGCGGTCTGCATACTGCGTGAGCTGAGAGTGGGCACGGCAAAGCTGTAGAGGACTCACATATTAGCACATTACAGGGAGGTGCATAATGCAAAGCTACATGTTGTAGTTGATGTGTGTGCAAGTGTTTCACCTGCGCTCCATTGAGCTCTGCAGAGTGTATACAAGACAGTGTGTCACTGAGGTTATGAGCTTCATCTATGATCAGCACCTGTTTAAAAAAAGAGTGTCAAACACATTTCTGCTTCAGTAAAATGCGAGATCAACTCTAATTTCAACTGCAGAGTATAATGAAAGTGTGGCAGAATGAACAGATACTAAAAGAGTTCCAAACAACCTGTGATCATACCATCAGTGTGTTTTATGTGCCCGAGCATCTAATGACAAAGTAAAAACTTTAGTTTACAAAATCCAAGATGAAAAAGTGAACAAAAAACTCTTCACACCTGTCCCTTTAGCTGGATCCCTGCTGCTTTTCTTGTAGCTTCATGGAGTACCATCTGATAGGGCAACACCACCAACTAAACAGACGATAGATACCAAGACATTACAGATTAACTAAATTTAAAAAAACTGCCTAAAAAGTCAGTCAATGAATACACAAAAATTCAGCAATCTGATTGGTTCTTGCTCCACATGCAAGCCATATATTTAGGACAATTGAGGAAATGTCGTGCAGCGCAGCATGCAAACAATCTCCGACTTGACGAGACACAGGGGTGGATGAGGTGTGGCGTTACCTGTGCCGGGGGATGGCGAGACGTGTGGAGTAGTACGGACAGGAGTGCGTTTGTCTGCCTAGTTTCAGCAGCTGCTCGATGTCATGGACTGAACCCAGGATGTCATCCCTCATCTGCTGCATCGCTGAAGCTTTGTTGAAGGGACACACACTCTTCGCCGGGCCTCGCTTACGCTTTGCACCGTCTTCCTGATGCTGCTTCTCTACACGGTGGAAGTTGTGAGGGAAAACTTGAGCTATCTCGGAGTATGTTATACTGTGTAATGTTAATCGTTATTCCTATAATGAAATGTTTTGTTTTTGCTTTAGGTCAGACATTCTGGAGTTGGAGTGTGATGGACTCTCACCGTGTTTGTTTTTCTGCATCTCCATGCAGCGGTCGTTTATGCGCTGGATGCTGCCCAGGCGAAGCACCTCCTCGTTGATGCAAAGATTCTGGAAAGAACAGAGTTTTAGACTTACTGAGCAAACACCATCAGAAATCTGCTTAGCAATCATGTTTGACTGTTTCAATACAAAGTGGTCTTTCCAGTTCTATCCCAAATATGAAGACTGATAGGAATGTAGATGTTATTGGTCATCTTAAACACCCTTACTACAACACTTTGAATAAAACCTCTAATTGTTTAATTATTGTTTCAAGAAGGTTAAAAGTACTTTGAGGTATTTTAGTGAAAACAGTATTTTTTTAAACATGGATTGAAACAACAGATTTCAGCTTAAAGATCAACCTAGAACCCTGTAGCAGACATCACACTGCTGAATATTCTTACTGATGTTAATTCTTTCAATCAATGAGACTTTCGTTTAATAGCATAACAGAAATGTTCTTCATAAATGTTCTTCAAAGTGAACGTCTTGAAGTGTCTTACTTTGCCAGTTCAACAAAACCCAAGAAGAATACATTTATAATCACAGAGGACAAGAAGAAATGTCATGATGAAAGAGGTTGGAACCTGCTTTTCTCTGGCTCTACGGCTCTTGAAACACTAAGTTAATAACCTAAGCAGCTGCTGCTGAGTGATTTTCTGATGTGCAACAACTGAATTAATGAAACAATCCTCTGTACACACACACACAACTGTTCTTCAACATGGAAAGTTTTTACACAAAACTGGACTATTCAACAAGTAAAAAAAACATAGGCACCTGCAAACTTGAGAAACTACCGGTATATGTCCTTAAAGCAAAGATTTGAGTTATCAAAGTTGTCAGTTAACGACAGAAGAATATAACAATTTAACATAATTTAGACATTAAAAGACATAAATAATTAAATAAACAGAGGGAATATCACCGCCAAGAAAAATAAAGCATGTCACATGTAATCTAAAAAAAACAACACCTGATATAAGTCATCTGTATAAGAGCTATAGTCTGCTGGTATTCCAGACATTAATTATTTTTTATAAACATTCTTTATTGATGAGATACACTCAAGCTAAATACACTCAAATCTAACCCTTACCTTTTGAAGGATCTGTGTACATACCTGGCGTGAGCCCAGTGTGACCACACTGATGTCCTTGCTGAAGGGGCTTTTCTGGACCTCATGGACAAACTGGGCCAGCTGGGAGTGAGTGCGGCTGCAGTAGTAAATCTGATAACATGCAGAAGTAGACAGCCTCATGTTAGGGGTAACGCTAGAGACACTGATTGTTATTATGACGCATTAAAACCAGTGAGTCTCACAGTAAATCATCTGAGTTATGATCTAAAACGTCTCTCCTCACACACCTTTGCAACATGCTCTTCCACCAGTTCATCGTCTGCGTCATCCTCAGCAACATTAACTCTGAGCACAAGAGAAAACACACACACCCCCTGCTGTTTTTGTATGCATATTTTTATTTTTCCAACATTTTGATACGTCTGCTAACCGAATGTCTGCCCTCCTCACCTGCTCTTGGTCTTTGATTCGTCATCACTCTCATACTCTGCAACGATAAGCTCCTCGTCCTCTCGATCCCCCTGCGTCTCCGTTTGCTCTTCTTTGCTGAGCTTCAGCAATTTCTCTGCCTCGTCATCTTCGCAGCTCTACACACAAACACACAGAAATCCATATATATATTGAGTTTGGTAACATGTGGGCGATGTTTTGTCACCTGCTGAGACTACTTACTTTTCTTTTCATAGCATACTTAAGCTGAACGTTGTTCCTGATCATTTCTAATCGTTCTTCCCGTTTCTTTCTTTTCAGTTCTTCCTCCTGACACACAAGTAAAAAAAAAATAAAAAAATGAGATGGTAAACAGGAAAACCTCCCTGGGTGGGATCCACGCCAAAGTCACACATGAGACAGACGATGTTCCAACCTTCAGTTTTGACACCAGATCTCGTTCCGCCTTCTTTTGGACGAAATCAGTGATCCAGTCGGGCTCTGCTGAGGAGCTGGTAGTGGAGGACTCGGCGGTAGGAGAGACAAGAGCGGCTTCTCCTTCCTGCAGCAGAGCAGCCGCCTCCTTGTTCCTCTTCTCCTCATGGTCTGTGAGCCAGCTCAGCGCTCCACATATCAGACTCAGAGACTTGCCCTGGGTTAAAAGACACATACAAATACTTGTGTTAAAAAGGAGTCACATGAAATCTGACACGTCAAATGTTCATTGCACACATACACACCGTTCCAGTTGGACTTTCAAAGATGCCAACTTTCCCCTGGTGCAGTGCACTGTATAGGGCTTCCATAAACTGCTGCTGGATGTTATAGGGCTGGTATGGAAATGGGAATTGGTCCCTCCCATTCTCCATGCTGCTTGTGAACCTCCCTGGCAGACAATATTACAGTCACATGGATAAGAAATATCCAACAACAAGTGTTTAGACTGGCTTAAACTCCTGATAGTGATGTTATGTCTAACACAAAGTAAGCTGCAGCTCAGGCGCCACATCCTGCAGGTATTTGATTCTGCACATTTAGTACAAGCACATTTATACTGTAAACACAATGCATATCCACAAACCCCTGCTGACAATCATTTTAAACAAATCGTTGTTATATACGTACCACGCAGATATCCAAAAAAGAGTTAATACTTTTTTGTTGTTTTTAGCTTCTCAACTCCCGGATACTCAACAACCGCGCCAACAGCCATAACTGGACACAAATTCTGACCAATAAGAAGCCAGACACAACAAAGAGCGCATGTTTTACTTAACCGCATCTCCTGCGTGGGCGGAGCCATTCAATACACGACGTATTTTTCTGCATTTAACACTTTAAAATAAGATTATAACAAATGCATACATTTAAGATGCTGTTACATGTGGATTTGTCGAGTCGCGTTATTTATTTTATCCGCTTTTAGTTTAAGCCCCGCCTTTTCGGGAGGTACATTAAAGTACAGGCAACGCACCAGACGCGGGTTCATCCCCCTGGTTCCTCCTAGAATGTCTGGAAAGTTCTATGCCCTTCTTAAAGCGCTTGTCAGATGTGAGTCTGCAAGACAACGTGGACCCGGATTCAAGCTTTTCACAAGGAGGCACACATCACAGCCTTAATACGAAGTGTTAGTTGCGCAGACCCGTAAGCAAGGTTCTCTGCGCAGCCAGCTGGAAGCTTCGGCGGGTGTTTTTCACAAGCTGCAATCGCGTGTTTTTTTTTTTTTTTTTTTGGAGAAGTAGGTAGCTTAGCTTTTTTTTTTTTAGCCGCCACTACTGTTAGCCTGTGAGCTGCAGAGCAGGTCAGAAGTAGGAGGGAGGAATCCGCAATTCATGGCAATGACTGCAGAGGAGCAGACAGGTGAAGGACAGCACACCATCCCGATGGAGGGAGAGGACATCACGCCGAAGAAAGACGGCGGTGTTTTGAAGGTGAGCGATTGTTGTTTTGCTCATTTTCATTGCGTTTGCTAGCTTTGCTGTGTGGTGCACTGTCTTGTCAATAAATAGCGTGCAGACGACATCTCAGGCCTTTTTTTTTTCTCCTGCTTCCTTTCCTTCCTGCAGAGTGTCACTGACATGCACAGTGATTTCATTCTCAGGTCATGCAAGCCATTTTTGGAGAATGTTCTGCAAGAGCTGAGAAGTGAGATCAAATGCAATTAGGAATCATTCCAGATCCACAACTCAAGTTTGATACAGATACTACATAGCAACTCAAGCAGCACAGGTGTTCATGCATTCAGTGATTTTCTCTCATTGCTCCTACTTTCTTCACCCCCTCTACAATCAGAAACCTCTCATCACTGCACAACCAGGCCCTGAAATAATGGTCAATAGTGGCCTCACTGTCACATCCTGAAAACAACACAATCTACTCAGTTTTGAGAGCTTTATGCATTTGTTTCCTCAAATTTGTTTTTAAATGTATCAACAATCTGGCCCCCCTGAACCTCTCTCCAGATGCGTTCAAAGACAGGACGGAAACAGGGTAACAAGGAGCACTGTGAGTGGAAACTGAAGAATACAACATTGTAGATCTACGTTTGGTCAATCAGCCTTCTCCATCAAAGGCTGCAAACTCTGCAACACATTAAACACCTGAAATCAAATTAATCTCGGACTTAAAATCTTTTACATAACAGGTGAAATGCTGGTTCAAAGCAAGCCAGAGCCGTACCTTTTTTTAAAACTTTATTTTAAACTGGTTTAAATAATTTGCATTGTTGTGCATGTATTTGAATGTATCCTTTAACATTTATGTTAAAAAACAAAACCAGCAGTAAGGACCAACATGAAACTGCGCTGTATTACAAGAAGGGTGTTAATTTATGGAGCAGCTGCAGTGATGAAATGAAAACAAGTAAAACATTTTTTAACACATTTTCAAGAATAACATATTTAACAAATATAAAATTGAGCAGTCAATGGGGAAAATTGAATCAATATGAGTTGTAAGGTCTGTACTGTCTACCAATGAATGTGTGTAATACTTTATATCTGTTGCTTTTGTTACGTCGTTATCTGTATTATTCGACTTTATTTTTGAAAGCTTAGTCTTGGATTAATTTATTAAGCTAAAGAGATAAAAGGGGGTAGGACTGGATAAGTTATTTAGCTTCATCCTACACCCTTTTTCCAACATGGACTGGTTAAGGAGAAATAATCGAGCCACTACAGAAAGTGTGCTTTGATTGCTGTTTGCTTTGTTTGTAATGTATATTTTATTTTATTTTAAAAACATGTTCAAAGTAAAAAAAAAAAAATAAAATGTATCCTCATATTGTGTTATGGGGTTTAATGTAACTGAATGTTGTACATTTTAATCTGTTTGTTTACACAAAGGCCCAACTGGGGACATGAGTTGGAAATTAGCAATAGCTATATACTCTTTATGCAGCACATCAGTTTCATGCTTTGTATTGAAATTATCTTAAATTGCATCGTCCCTATTAAATAAATGAATTCAATTCAATACTTACACCGACAAGAGCATTCCTATTGAAGTACATTTGTAAAATAATGTTCATGAGACGTCTCGTTTATTTACACATGTGGTGCTGACCTTACTTTGTCGTTGAAGACTTACAGATTCATTCTAAAATTTGTTTTCTTCTGTTTTTTTTTCTCCCCCCAGCTGGTGAAAAGGGAAGGCACTGGCACAGAGCTGCCCATGACCGGTGACAAAGTGTTTGTCCATTATGTGGGCACGCTTCTGGATGGTACTCATTTCGACTCGAGCAGAGACCGAGGAGAGAAGTTTTCCTTTGAGTTGGGCAAAGGTTGGTTTTTCCATATCTAGCAGAGGTATGATTAATTTCTTGCCGTGATTGCACTGCCGGCGTTTGTAATCTGTCTTCTACCGGTTTAGGTCAGGTGATAAGGCGTGGGACATCGGCGTAGCCACCATGAAAATCGGAGAGTTGTGCCAGCTCATATGTAAGTCGGAGTATGCTTATGGATCTGCAGGGAGCCCACCCAAGATACCCCCCAGTGCCACTCTTGTTTTTGAGGTAACCATCAGTGATTTCAGGTCAAAATAATGTTTCAATTGTATACTCTGTTCCAAGGATTGATGTGTCAACCTTTTTTTTTTTTTTGTGTAAAAGTATTTTAATGTATTGTCTGCACAATTGCAGGTTGAACTATTTGAATTTCGGGGTGAGGACATAACTGACGGTGAGGATGGAGGAATTATCCGCCGCATTATTACTAAAGGGCAAGGCTATTCAAAGCCTAATGAAGGAGCTGCTGTTGAAGGTAAATCATCCACGCTAAACTTTTTTGTTTTCACATAAAATGTATTTGTGCTGCTTACCACATTTATTGATGTCAACAAGTATTCAAGCGGCCTACATTATTTCTTAAGCTTAAGGGCGCACTCACACTTGGCCCTGTTGTCCCGCACTGTGCTTAAGCACGATTTGTAACAATGTAGGCGCCCATGTGGCTGCATGACATCACTCAATTCAAATTTAGTTTTGTTGTTAAATTTAGAGATTCCATAATTTGCATGTGCATTGTGTCCTCGTTTCACTTCAGTGGCTTGGCCATTGAGACAGAATCATTTTTCACTCCAGAAAGAAAACTCTTCAGAAGTTTTATTTCCTTCCTCAGAAAGGAAAACTGCTGTAGTACCTCCTTTTAAACTGGACTTCCTGGTTTTATAATTAATCACTTTCATTCATCTCTGAGTGACTTAAAGCAACACGTGTTTGTTGGTTTGGGCGTTACAATGCACATACCTGCTCAGAAACAGGTTGTGTGTGTGGAGAATGAGAGGGCAGTTTTATGTTGAGTCATATTTTGTAGAAATTGGTTTATAAAACTCAGACTGTAGAAGTTGATTATTCAAAGATCTCTTTAACCCTCGTCATTAAAGCTGGCACCTCCTGGAGTCTGTTATAACTGTCAATCACAGATGTTTAATAGACTTTTAAAGAAACCTTTGAAATGTTGTTGAACTGATACTTTAGTCTGTACGTCCATGTCTTTAAAATGTTATTGTATTCAATTCTTAAATGTCCTTTTCATGTTGCAGATAAATTCCCGCACAACCTGCAAAAGGTTTTTTATTTATTTGTTTATTTTTGCTTCTCAAAGCCTGCACAGGGCTAAGCATTTTACTGAAAAGCACAGTGGCATCTATGTGTATTGCCAATTCCTTTAGGGAAGATTTGTCAAAGAATATTTTACACATTTTCTTACAGATTGTAGGATTTATGTGCAGTGCATACAACTTTGTAAGTCCATTTGGCTGGGATTCATTTACTGGGATTTCTAACAAAGCAACTGAACAGTTTGCATCACTTTTCTTCCGCTGCAATTAAGCAGCATCTGTGGATCCACTGTCATCAAGTTAACACGTTTGTGGCCTCTTCTTTTTTTTTTTTCTCGATTCTTTCAGTTACTCTGGAGGGGTCCTGCGAGGGCCGTGTGTTTGATGAGAGAGAATTAAAGTTTGAGATTGGGGATGCAGAGAGTCAGGGCTTGCCAGTCGGTGTGGAGAAAGCGATCGTGGCTATGGAGGAGGGGGAGGAGGCGCTCTTCATCATGAAGCCCAAGTACGATAAGTGCTGTACTTCTGTTAGTAGTATGTTGTAGAAGTCAGTGTTGTTTTTAGATGAGATCATTCTTGTATATCTAAACTTGTCAAACAGGATTGTTGTTCTAATAATAATGACTCTATTATAATATAGTAATTGTTATTCACAACAATTTGACCACTTTAATTACACTCTGCAAATGTAAATATCCACTGAAGATCCCTATAGTACAGTACATTATTTTAGTGGCCTACATGAGCTTTAAGCTTTTAGTTGACAAAGATTGAAAGAAATTCACCCTAACGATTATTCAACATGCCGTGACATATCATACAGTGCATTGCTCACTGCAGTAGGTAATACCACACTTATGCTCTAAGATTAAAGTGCCTGGTTATATGTCTCATTTGTAGGTATGGCTTTGGGAATACAGGAAATGCCAAGTATAACATTCCTGGCGGAGCAACGCTGCAGTACAAGATCAAGCTGACAGCCTTTGAAAAGGTAAACTTGTTTTGAACTGTTTTTCGATGTCAGTTGTGTACGCCGATGTTTTTCCCTCGTAAGTAATTCACGTCTGCTTTCTTTCTGTAGGCTAAGGAGTCGTGGGAGATGAACACAGTAGAGAAACTGGAACAGAGCGTTATCGTCAAAGAGAAGGGAACACAGTATTTCAAGGTATTTTCAAAACACTCCGCTACAAAGAGAATTTTTAAGACCAGTGAAGTTGAAGACTTTTGTTTTCTAACGCATTCATTCCACACGCCTCAGGAGGGAAAATACAAGCATGCGTCAGTGCAGTACAAACGGATCGTGTCATGGCTGGAACATGAAGCTGGTTTGTCAGAGGAGGATGAGGGGAAAGCGAAGGCTCTGCGGCTGGCTGCGCATCTCAACCTGGCCATGTGCTTCCTCAAACTTCAGGAGCCAAACCAAGCCCTGGAGAGCTGTGACAAGGTGTCAGATAATCTTTTGTTTATCTTTTTAAGATGAACCTCAAATCAGTCTGTATTTAGCAGGTCAGAGACTTCCAAGCCCATGTGTTAAGAACAACAAGTGCGCCAACGTTTGTTAAATCTATTTTGTACCAATGACTGAGCTGTAACTTTTTGTTGAAAGCTGCGTACAGTTCATGATGCTGTGTTTTATATTTTAAGGCTCTGGAGTTGGATGAATCCAATGAGAAGGCTTTGTTCCGGAGGGGAGAGGCACTGTTTGGTATGAAGGAGTTCGACAGGGCAAGAGATGACTTCCAACAAGTCGTCCAGCTGTATCCTGCCAACAAGGCTGCCAAGAGCCAGGTATAAGGCCACGTTTTTTTTGTTTTTTTTAAATGAAAAATTGAAGAAAAATTAAGCCACGATTTTCTCGAGTTTGTTACAATTCCAAAATGAGTTCGGAGAGAAAATTTAATGTTTCCTTCTTTTTTTTTATAAAGGAGCGACTTGCTTTGCAGTGAGCTCCTGATATATTTATTGTGCTTTCATACAAAATAAAACAGGCACGTGTTGTTCTCTTTGATGTATTACTTTGGAGTATGAGCTATGTTTGTCAAATTAAATGAAGCTATTGCATTCTTTTGCTCGAGGTGGAAAACTACCAGTTCTTGTTAAGAAGAGCACTATTTATTATTTCTCTTAGCTCACATCAGGTTGGTCTTAAAATAAGAAAATATCTGGTCTTTGCAGTCGAATTTGAGAAATTTCATCATATAAATCATTCTGTTGCTGTTTCTGTTTTGTATCTCAAAATACATTTCTAATACCGTTTTTTCTCTCTCTCTCTCTCTCTCTCTCTCTCTCTCTCTCTCTCCTCACACCAGGTTGTTTTTTGTCAAAAGCGCATCAAGGAGCAGCATGAGAAGGACAAACGCATCTACGCAAACATGTTCGAAAAATTCGCCGAGAGGGATTCTAAGGTGAAAGGTTGTGAGATCTTTAACAGCCACAAGGGGGTGGGAGGAGCACGTTTTTGATTGTCAAAGAGGCTGATGGTGTTTTTTTTCTTCTTCTTCTTGTCTCGTGAACAGAAAGAAGCGGAGAGGGGGAAGCCTGCTAATAAGGAGGACAGGGATGAAGAGATGGAGATCGAGAACGGAGAAAAAGAAGTTGCGAGTTAAACGAAGGTTTAGACGATGATGTGACCGTGATGGTTCATCTGTACTTAAGACTTTTGTAACTTCAGCAATTTATGGGGAAAAAAAAAAAATTATGTGTGTGTGTGTATGCATATGTGAAGAGGAGTATAAGTGTGTGTGAGTATGAGCATGTTAACGCAAGCACTGACTTTGGGGCGCGTCTTCTCTGGCTTTCTTTGTGTCCAAGCTGTTTGCTGTGGCTACTCGCCGGATGGGTGGGGCTTTCTCCGGCTTGATGGCACTGTGGGTCGAGGTTTAAACAAAAAAAAAAAACAAAAAACACAAAAAAAAAGTGTAACACCACCGTCAACCCTTTTGAACTGTGCATGTGTTTTCACAGCATTTTGGGAAGGAAAAAAAGTGCATCCAAGTGTTAAGTGCGAAATGTCAAATCCCCACCCGTTAAGGGCTAGACCATTCACATTGCACTACCCTCTGTCCTATACCCCCCCTCCCCCCTCCTCACACCTTTATGCTCTCCATCCGACCCTCCTCATGGGCCTACTGATCAATTTCCGGAGGTGTGATGGTTGTGTGCATAGATGTGATGTGTGTGAGTGTCCCAAAGTACGTATGTAGCAGCACTGTGGACAGGTGGAGAAATAAAGACTATAGCCTTTAATAGCTAGTCGGACTTGAATCTTCTCTAAAGACGGAGCTCCCCTTTTAGCCCCCCCCCCCCCCCCAGAGTTCAACAGGACTGTTCACCATTGCTTCGGAAATATTGACTTTGTATTTTCTTTTTTTTTCCCTCTAGTGTTGTGTTTGTGATTTCTGTACTGTTTTTTTTAAGTAATGGATTCAACCAACTACATGACTGGAATATATATGTTTTTTAAAAAGCAGCTACAAATGACATGAATTAGATTCTTTACACACTTAAGTAATGGAAAGTTTAAATATTAGTCTTAATTTACTGTCAAAATGACATGTATGGAAATATGCTGTTCTGGCTCATCAGTTTCAGGCTGTTAAAGACGGTACACCATAGGACGACGGCAGCCCAGTTTATTTGAGTCAGGGGGGAAGGTTGTGTTGAGTTTTAGATTTTTTTCCGGTTGGACATGTCACTGTTTGTTCTGCCCTGACAGAAAGATACAATAAAATATAGCTACAACTTGACTGTGTGATAGTCCTGTCTGATCTGTGCCCCCGCAGTCTGCAGTAACCATGAAGCACTTAGCGTTCCCCTTGTGCTGGTTTCTGCTTTTAAATCAAGTGTGGTGAGAAAAACAAACACTGTCAAATGCTGTCAGTTAAGGACAGTTCAGTTGGAGAGGACACATTTGAATGAGTTGTGATTTTAGGTTGCTTTAAAGCTTAATCTGTTGATTTAACACTATTTTTGATGTTTCAAAGAAGAAGAATACAGTCTCGTTTTTTAGTAAATCATATTTTGGTCGTGTGCTGTTATTTAGACTATGTATGCAATTGTTATCAAATGTGCATCTTAAATTTGATTCAACAGTTGATTAGAAAACAAAAACATAAGAGTGATTTTTAAAGATTAGCCAGCTACACATGGATTCACTTCTGCACAGCAGTAATACTTCCAACTGTTTTCCACTGTCCCATTATAAACCTATGGTGTACTTGCAGTAGTCAGGAGGTCAGAGTCTTCTTTCTCATGGGATGAACAGGATCTGATCTGATCCTCAAGCTTTCCCACAAGGACAGTGGTGTCAGTTTACGGACGTGAATTTGCTCCGAGGCCGCTTGTTGGTTACAGGTGGATAACGAATCCTTTGTTCCATGTATTTGATTTATGATTAGCTATACAGTAATAAAAGTGTTTTCTTAAGGTGTTTCCATTAACTCTTCAAAGGGTTTTGACATAGGAAGGAAAGGATCCTAACAGGCCTCACCTGGGGGGTCTGTTTTCTCTCTTCAGAGCATATGTTCCCTTTGTTCTTTGTTTGCTTGCTTGACAGTTGTACAAATAAACTACAAGAGAGTGGACATTACAGCCATGGCAGGTGTCTCATTTAGTATTTTTTATTAGAGGTACACAAGGACTTTTACAGTTTTATAGGCTACAATAATTTCAGAGTAATGTGATCATCGATTCCTTAAGCGTTATTTTGCGGGCACATTTTCATTTGATTTGTAAGCACATTCAAATAAACACATACAATTATAGGCTATTATTAGCTTCTATGAAAGTTTACTTTTATTAGTGAGTGTCAAAATAAACGGAATAAAATAAATAATGTATAAAATAAAATAAATAAATAAAATAAATGAACATCCTGTAACTTGCAGATACCACAGGAGAGGTGACATATCAGCTCCAGTCCCTTCCATACTAACTTTTTTGTTTTGTGATAATGATGTCGTAAAGATAAACATATAAACAAGTTGTAAAAAGTAACGTTTAGTTAACATTTTGTTGACGTGGTGCTAATTAACAGTCAAGGAAAGGATTTCATATAATGATGCATACATAATTACCTATTGTGAGTGGATGTTGGACATGTATCTGTACATGCCATGTGTAGTAAAGATCACTATTTGTTCTTTATTTTTTGTTTCCTTTCACTTCCTCTCTTTTCCTACTGCACCTCCTTTAGTACGCTTCCTGGTTTCTCACTCTCTCCTCTCCCCCTTGATTGGTTGTTGTTTGCACTCTGTCACTAATTAATTAGATTGAATTCACCTGCCTACTCCTTATTTAAGACTGCACTCATTTGCATTTATGTTTCCATCCTCACATGGGGTGGTAGTTCAACAATGGTAAGTTGGCTTTTTACTCCTATTTTAATTTGTCCTAAGCACTTTATTTCCCTTCAGAAAGTGATGTAATTTGACTTGTTTGTGGTGCTAATATTATTTTATTGTCTTTCAGCCTGGATGTTCAGTCCCGTGTGTGTCTTATGTTACCCTTATGATTCACCTAACTTGAAAGTAAATAAACCTGTTGCATAAAAATCAAGTGTTGTTGGATTCCTGCATCCTGACCCGGTGTCCCCATGGTGATAACACCTCAAATTTGAACCTTTCTTAACACCATGTGTGGTATAAAGGCTACAGGTACCTGATACAGGTATCCTCAGTTCAGCAGAGCTTTTGGAGCTGCCCATGTTCACGCCTCTCTCAAATCTCAGAAGTCACTGCTGTCAGACTCACTCAAAACAAAGTGTTTCCGGTGCAGGGCTTCAAAATAAAAAAGAAACAGTGACAAACATCGGATTGTGACGCTGAGGTGTGCCAACATTTTTAAAAACATATATTTTTACTGTTATATATGAAGTAGATTTGAGAGATGGCAGCAGGGACTGTGCCATTTTTAATTTCTCCTCAAGGATACACTTGTACTTTTACTTTGTAAGCAGGTAGTCAGTTCCGACTTTCTTCTTGCATCTTTGTGTTACTCCGTGAAGTCGAGAGAGAAGTAGTAAACCTGTTGTGAGAAATCACCATTCAGTGTGTTGTTTGTGCACCGTCGTGCGCGGAGCCCGTGTGGTTTGGAGAACTTGATCAGTCAGCGATAAGACGCGAGAGGAAACTGTCTTCGGAGTTTCATATGCTCGATGCGTGCTCAGTGAAGAGGACCAGCCACCCCTCCCGGGTCATGGTGGGTTTCTTTTAGCGGGATGAGAGCCACCAGGGGCCGTGCGCACTGGGGACATCCAGGGCGCCGGTAGTGCGCTCTGACTGGTGGGTGGCAGGCAGTAAGGCGAACGGGCTCACGGCTGGGTCGGTGCCCTCCTCATGACAAAGCGGGGGATGAATTTGACCCTGGAGTCAAGATGATCGTGGAGTTTTTCCCTTGGAAGAAACTGCGGCGAAACAGCAGATATCTTCTGTTTGGGGCGATTCTGCTGCTCGGAATTTTTGCGTTCTACCATGAGACGGTTGCTGCAAAAGTATGGAGCAGTGACACCGGTAAGTGTGTGGTTTCTAATCCGGACATTGTAGTTGCAAAGTCTGACTCAAGTGTTTCACATGGTTTAAGAAAAAAACAAGTTTTGCATGATTGTGACATCCCGTAAGTACCTGTAACTGACGGAATAACCGGTTGGCTTCTGTTACATTTAGACAGTTACAATCAGGCTTAACTATTCACTCACTCATGATTCCTCTTTCAATGTTTCAGATACTGTTCATTCATGAAGCTCCTCAGCTTTAATGTGTTGTTGAACAGAACAGGACTATAATATAAAAAGTTTTCCACTACAGATGCAGTGCATTGCCACACAAAGTGCGATCTATTTAATATATTAACCATGCAGAGCTTAATCATCAACTCTTGTTTAGAGAATCAGCAACATTTTACAACCCTGTGTTGATAAATAACTTTCTGACTTTCATTCAAGATGACACAAAATATCTATTCATGTCACTGCTTACCAATTCCTAAATAGTTTCTGGTATTGTGATCAATTAAAAGTATGTTTGGTGATTTCTTAAAGTAATGTAAGGAACCAGAACATGTAGTTGACATCTTCTTTTATATAAACTTTTCATGTATGATGCTGGATCAGTTCACACAGGGAACATGAGCCAACAGCAGGTGAATCAACAGGTCGTTTTTTTGTTTTTTTTAAAAGAGATGGAGCATTGTGTGTGTGTGTGTGAGAGTGTTTTAGAGTGAGAAGGATTTAGAGGGGGGAAGGGGAGGTCAGATTGCAGGTTCACACTCAGACTAAGGAAGTCTCGTCTCACACTGGGTAACCAAACTTCCTGCCCTTTACCTTTTATTTACACCTCAGTCTACCATCTGCCGCGTTGCACTCACACCAGAGTTTAACATCAGGGTGCCACCACACTGGTGGGAATGGAGATGAAAACGGTTAAGTATGTGTCTCGCCACAAGAAATAAATAACAAAACATGACAAACACACACACACACGCATACACACACACGCACACACACACTTTGAACAGGGCCTAACATGTAAACGCATGCCTCAGACCTACATTAAAGGCCCTGCCTATCTACACATTCCTGGGCTGCAGCCCCCTTGTCACAGTGGGACTTCTAAGGGGAAGGGTTCCACACAGCCTTCAAAACAAACCAAAGAGCAATATGAACATCTTACCATGTCATAGAGGAATGTCAGGTAGGATTCTGGGAGTTTATGATGACCAACAGAGACCTCTAGAGGTGTCCTCACCACAGTTTGTTTATTGGCACACATGGCGTGAAAAAAAAAAAAAGTGTCAGAAACAAATAGAGTTCAGGTAACAGCAGTTGTTTTTCTCAGTAAATTAAAACAGATCACGAGAGGATGGGATGAAGATTTTCTTCATCAAAGCAGACAAAAGGTTATCTTTTAAAAAAAAACAACAACTTTAATACAGGCGCAATGAAGATCATTAAAATTATTCAAATCTGACACAAGGAAATGTTCCCAGATATCTTGGACAGGTAAACAAATGTTTGCTCATCTCCGAGGCTCAGAAACAGCGTAATAGATGTGAAGGTACTTGAACATATTTTAACTGTTCAATGTTTGTCTCAGCATAATTATGGTGATATTACTGCCTTGATTTTCATTAAACTTGGTAGCGGTGTGTAGCATGGGCCAACAATGACATGGCCACTAGTTCATGTATTGGATGTGGTTATCTGACTCACAGAAAGTAGGCCTCATTATTAGTAACAGTGCATCATTTTTATAATATTTGGGATTTTTTTTTAACGCTGAGGTTGCATGGTTTGCATATCAAGGAGGACCTTTAATGTTTAATGGCTTCTGCGTCAGCACTCTCCAAGTGCACTTGTAGTTTGACAGACAAGTAGTTCATAACAACCATCCATAGTTCTGCTGTTTTACATTTGTGAATGTGTATGAGTTGTTGTTTTTTTTGAAAATGCAAAATGTAATTTAAATCAATGAACTTTAAAATTCAAATGTAGTGCTCAACTTCATTTTGCTATTCCTATTGTTGATAGATATTTTTCTAGCTATACCTGCAGGCTTAAAATATTAAAACATTTAACCCAGAAATGTGGTGGAATAGCATATTCATTTTGTAGATCCCTGAAAGATGATTGAGATCTGTGAACACAGGCATAGAATAAATATTATCTGTATTCAGCATCAGCTGTTTACAAAAGTCGGACAACCTACTCCTCTAAATCCACAGTTTCGCAACCAGTTGGCCTTTAGCATTACTATTTATATTTGTCATGGTTTTAACTTCTCCACTGATCTAACTGGTTACTGAAGAGACAATGTTTATCTCATCTTCAATTGTATCTCTTGTGCAAGTAAATTAAAAGAAGTCTGTGGGGAACCATTTACACACAAAGGAGCATCAAAGAGGACAAAAGGAAAAGATCTGTCTATGTCATCATCATAAAAACTACATGATGACTATATGGCACCTCTTAAAAAAAAGAAGAACCCTGTGTATTCAAATGAAATCCAGTTTGTTTTCATGGGCAGCAGAGTGGGAACATGTCGTCACATGTAAACTGTGGAGAAGAAACAGAATGAAAAACACAGGTAACCACAGAAGGGCTACTCCCATGCTGAGGTCTGTAGGCTGGGTGTTTAAGTGAAGGCTTGTTATTCCCACATGTAGGTCACACAGGCACTTAAGAAGATAGATAACGTATAAAGCGCTGCAGTTATTAAATGTCCTGATAGAGAAATGGCTGCCTGCCATTGACCAGGTCGTCATTTTTAACTGGAGATTCTCTTTTGTGAATGCAAAATGTATTTTGTGATGAAGAAAAGTTGTACTTTACTTATAATATCTCTTCATTTAAAAGAACATAATAAAAAAATACTTTTTGTTCTCTTGGGAGAAGTCTTTGGCATGACAATATTTTAAAGTATATGTGTCCTTATAACTGTTTGCTCCTCTTTTTTGTATAGAATCCTCCTTACTCAAACAAAAGTTGCTTATTTGCAGCATCTTTAAACGAGTCTTGCCAAACATGAACTAAAAAGTGTCTGAAGAGTAAACAGACCAGGCTTGATTGATACTTTGGTACAAGGCCTTTTGCGACATGCCGACGCGCCAACAAAAACACTTGAAGGAATCTTGGCGTTCATGTGTTACTTTTAATGACAGCTGTCCTTCTCCATCGGAAAGGTATCTTTAAATGACTTCTTTTCCTGATTTCCGACTCTATCCACTATCCTATCTCTACAATAAAGGCACTAAAAGCCCAAAAATAATAATACTTTACTTGAAGGTAGGGGAAGGCTATCAAGGTGGAGGCTATCAAGAAGCTGGGTTACTAAATTTCCAACCTCACCCGCATGGATGCCCACACCAACAAGATGGCAGAGTACCTGTTTGACAAGCACACCCTGGGTGGGAAAAGCTAAATGCAGAGTCAGGATTACTCTGCCTGAACAACCCCCCAACCCCCTTGCTCCCTATCCCTCTTCCTGCATTTTATCCCATCTCTCCCCCTATCCCTTCCAAGCCCGGCACAGTCTAGGCCTGTGAAGTGCTGTTTCGTCATGAGCCGGGGGTCCAGCCGAAGATTTTGCCTTTTAATAAGGCAGTTTTTTTCTTACCACTGTAATTTTTGCTAAAGTGCTCATGATGGATAAGCCGGATCTTTGTAACATAGCAATAAGTAAGGTCTTTTACCTGCTTTTTGTAACATAACAATGAGTAAGGTCTTTTTACCTGCTTTTTGTAAAGTGTCTTGAGATAACACTTGTTATGATTTGACGCTATACAAAGAAAAATTGATTAAGCTTTCAATGAGAGTCTTAATGACACAAAGACTTTTGAAAAAATAAACACCTTTCTACCATTAGCACCTTTATAATGGTAGCGGAAACACTGGGTAAAACACTTTAAAACCCTGCAGCAATTTTCTTTTGAACTCATTGAATCGATGAGTTTCACCAAACAAAGCTCAACCAGTCATCAAAAAAATGATCGGATTTGAGGACACAATGCATGATTTAAAAACCAAGTAGTTTCAGAGTTGTAAAATATTGTGTCAAGTGGGCGACAGAAGAAGTGTGAGTACGAAAGACTTGCGAGTGCAAATGGAGATACAAATATTCCCCATCTTGCTTTTCTTAACCACCACTCTACAATTACTCGCGTCTCCAAAATTGGCCCCTATGTCTCAAGGGTGTGTGTGCTCTGAGATCTCCACCCTGGTGATAATGACAGACTCCGACTCCATGAGCACAGCAATCCAAATTCACTCACTTACACCACAAGCTCATAAAATACAGTGGTCCCCTTTTTTTTAAATACGCACCACTCTATAATTTGAAGGATGAGGGAAGAGGTTAGAAGAATAATATTTCTGCATCTGCTCTGCTGCAGTGTCAGAGATGTTTGCCCACACACGAGTGTGGCAGCAGCTTAGTGAAGGCTGTGACTTAGTTTGGTGACATGAAATGGTCATTGGTAAAGAAATAAAAGAGGGTGGGATACTCGGTTATATTGTTCAAGCAACATAAGAACTCAAGAAATGGATGAAAAGCAAGTTTAATACAAAAGACTGGAAATGTGTAAACATCTGCTGTGAGGCAACGAGCAGATTTATAACACTGGATGGGATGGGCGGTGGTCTGCATGATTTAAAGTCATTTTAAGGAGTTTTCTTTTCTGTAGCAGAGCTGCGTGTGTAACATGATGAGCAGCAATTTTTTGAGATGCGTTTTTTTAAGTAAATATACAAATTCGCGTTGCCCTCACACAGCTCAGTCTGTGAGCTAACTAATTTTCCTATATGCTGCCAGATGCAAATGAAGCCATCCTCTGTCATTCAGAAGGTAATGCTTCATGTGTTTTGCCTGTCAGCATTACGCTGCTGTGATAATTTTTTTCTCCCACTTCTTCCTCAGGCATGAAGGGTGATGCTGGCGGCAGCTGGGGAGGAGCCATGTTTGACAGGGTAAGGGCGATGCATGGAAAAGAAGTGGTAGCAGAAATAAGGTGATGCAATGGGGTGTGTGTGTTTGTTGAGGAAAGTGTAAAAGTGATTTTTTTAATACTGCATGTGTGTTATTCCAGGCCAGAAAAGTCAATCAACCAGTCTCTACGGAGGATTCTGCTGCCTGGAGATCCAGCTTCAATCCACAAACCTGGAAACCAGAGGTGTGTGTGTGTGTGTGTGTGTGTGTGTGTGTGTGTGTGTGTGTGTGTGTGTGTGTGTGTGTGTGTGTGTGTGTGTGTGTGTGTGTGTGTGTGTGTGTGACACTGTTTCTCACCTCTTCTGAACTCTGGACAACATGCCCCAGCCTGCCCAAGCTCCTCCCACCTCAGTGTGTTTACCTCAGTGTACAGAATATTTCCTGTTGCACAGTCTGCCTCTGCATCAGGGTCGTCATATTTCCACTATATTAAGCAGCGCTGTGCTACGGCCAGTTGCTGGCACCTCATGTTTCACGTTCGGGGGAAGCCGTTGCTGTGATTGGTCGGCTGTTGTTCACACAACAAAACATTTCATGATCACAGTGTAAAGGTTCTACAAACCAGCGTTGTTAATTTCAGAAATGTTCCCCTGTTGTATCAATCAAAATAACAACAACAGTAACTTTTTATTTTATAGTGCACATTTAAAAACCCAAAGTAACGAGGTGTCACACACAGGCACATATTAAAATACAATAGATTAAAAAACAAGCAGACCAATAAAAATAATAATAATAATACATTTTATTTATAAGCGCTTTTAAAAAACTCAAAGACACTGTACAATAGTTAAAAACATAATGAACAGCACAGTAAGGACAGACTAACAGGCATTGCAACATTATTATTATTATTATTATTAATAATAATAATAATAATAATAATAATAACTTATTTATATAGCACCTTTTAAAAACACAGGTTTTCAAAGTGCTTTGACAAACAGCAAAAACAAGAACAAAGCAAACTAAACCAAACAGCAAGAACATAACAAATGCAAAATGCTAAATATAATTAAATACAATTCAACAGAAAAGAACCCGAAGTGCACGATACCCAACAGACATATATAACCCGACCATCACAAGAACCATCATAAGAACCCAGGCAACACACAAATCATAAAGATAACAACAATAAAGGTAAAACTACAGAAAACAGAAAATACATCACAATCATACATTAAAAACTTGTTTAAAGAGGTGAGTTTGACAATGACAGCAATCGTATAAGATGCTGTTTGTAATTAAATACAAACAATTGGAATAGATAAAATAAATAGTGTAACCAGTTAATAAAGGGCCCGTAGCCACAAACAATCTGAGAATCCTCTTGGAGAGCTCATAACTTAGCTTAAAAATTCCTAGCAAGGAGTCTTAGCCTAGGAGTGATTTAGGAACATTCTCAGAGTGACTTTGAGCGAGGAATGGACAGAAACTTTTGTCTTGGTGAGGAGGCGTGGTTGACCCCGTTGCTAGGTATGACACATTTTTTTCACAAGCTATGATTGGTTAATCTAAAAGAAATGAGGAAAAAAAGTCAATCATAGAATCAAGTCAGACATTGTGTAATTAGGAACACTTTGAATTTAGCACCTGTGTGATCATTTGTGAGATGTACTTTAAAAGTATAAAGCCTACAAAATGTTAGACATCACATGACCACTTGTGCAGCAGCTTCTCCACACGCTGAGCGTTACAGCAGCAGGGAAAGGGTCTTAATTAGCGATTGCACGTAGAGAAACTCAACATGCATGTCTCACTTTGTACTGAAAAAATGTCAGAGATGGATTGAAATGTCTGCACAAATCGTTTTAAGTCCCAACTATTAGTCAAAGATATTATTCATTATTCAGTGTTTGGAGAACATTTCTCTGTTTTCTCCTCAGCTTGAGAAACTCTTAAACTGTTAAAAGTCCTCCTCACTACTGCTAACAGTTTTACACCTTAGGAGCTCTCTTAAGGGCTAAGACACTTTGTGAATAACTTTCATCTTTACAAGGATCTTGTCCAAACTTTGAGGGGAAATTCTTAGAAAATGTCCCGATTCTAAGAATTGTCTGAGAGTTTTGTCACAAGGAGCAACTCTTAGTGCTTAGGAGGCTTTGTGAATACGGCCCCTGATTATAAAAAAAGGAATCATTAGGAATGATTAAAAAGTTGACTCAAACCTAGCTAACCTCGGATCTCAGTATTTGTAAACATCATTAATATTTAATATTATATCAATTTTTAATTCTTTGCAACAATATGATCATATATCTGACCAGCCATTACCAGTCGTCATTACACATATCTTTACATATCAATGATTTATTTAGCCAAACATTGAATTATTTCATTAAGCCATCGGTTCTTTAAAGTATATAACATCATGAAGTTTTGAAAAGTTCCTTTTACACTTCCAAACGTCAGAGGAAAGATTCAAAAAAGATATATCCAAAATAGTATTTGTTTTCATTTTTTAACAGAAAGGACAAAACACTCATCCGACACCCATACAACACAAATCTAGACAATGCACAATACATAATACAATAAACAAGACGAGAGAGATCCTAAGAGTTATAGATATTCAATTGAAAGTTTTATTAGTCAAAATCAAAAGAGAGTCTGACGGACAGTCTTGCTACATCAACATAACTATTTAAAATAACTGTTGGCCATCATTATGAGATCTACAGGATTCATGTTGCCAACCATTGTTACCAAAATTGTTCGATTTAAGTCGAATAATGAAAACTGAATCCTGAGTAGGTAAAGGCTGCGATAAGTTTTTAAATGTTAGGGAGGTTCTTGACACAGTTTCTTCCGTCAGTCTGTCTCAGATGTCTCAGAACAAACTGAGAACGAAGGAGCACAGTAAAAGTCACAGCTCTCACATGTTTAACACTCTCATTGATTGGCTAGGCAAGGAGAAAGAAACCGCAGAGCTGTGGTGAAATAATGAATGAAATATGATCGAGGCTGAAAGAACAGAAGCCTTTTTAGACTCCAGGTCAAGGTGTGTTGAACACAGATGAGAAAACATGGCCTCTTTGGCAGGTGTTTGTTTACAGGACATCTGTGCCTCTGCGTCTTCAGTTACCTGTGTGTGTGTGTGTGTGTGTGTGTGTGTGTGTGTGTGTGTGTGTGTGTGTGTGTGTGTGTGTGTGTGTCTTCCAGGGTTTCCTACAGACTTTCATTGAAATGATTACAGATATTTGACAGCAGTTTCCATTGTCGTCCCATTCCTGTGATCCACCCCTCTAATAGTGTAGCGCTGACGTAAAGGTTTAGCTTACCCAAACCACAATGGAAACCTTCTCAGGGCATCGAGCTATTCAAATAGCGGAGGCTTTGTTAAACCATGTTTTAGTGTTCAAAACTCAGAAAAAGTATATTAGAAGAACGTTTTTTAACATTTATTAAAAATATCAACTGAGCTCGTTACAGCTTGAGATACGGGAGAAAACATGTTGTCTTTCTAATGTAGGTGAAGCTTCATGTGTGTACACAGGAAGAGGGATGGACAGCAGGAATTGGGTGACAATTGAAAGCAGCAGTCCTTTCATTGTATTCTCAAATGGTATCTAAGGAAGTGTGTGTTTGTTGGCTTTAGTTTGCTCTGTTCTGAGGCCAGATGGTTTATTGTCTCACTGCCGACCAACTGTAGCACAAATACAATTGTGTGTCTCTTCTTCCTGAAGTATAAGGGAAAGGCCAACATGCACATCTTCGAGGACTGGTGCGGCAGTTCTACAGCTGACCTCTCCAAGAACCTACACTACCCGCTGTATGCTCATGTGAGTCTGACCTTTTGCCTCCTGAGTTCACTCAGATTCTATACATGTATATCTATATATATGCTCCAGGGAGGTTCAAAAATAAATGTACCTCAGATCCCAAATATTGGACAGACTGCCACGCTATTTTAGTGAAGACACTCAGTCACTATATTCGCATGTTGTTTCTTTTGACACACACTCAGGTTGGAGATGGCGGTTTATATGTTTCCTAGCTAAAAAATGTAGTTTGATGATGTATCAGGACTTGATAGGAAAGGCATTAATTCCTAGAGAAGATCAACATTTGGTATAAATACATTGTTTTATTTAAAATATGGCCCCCTTGATTGTCACTCTCCATTGTCATAGAGGAAGATGTTGATAGGTTAGATATATTTAGGGTTGGAACAATTTTTCACACCAGAGGACAAAATCATCAAAACATCAATGGTTAGGAGCGCTGCACGGTTCCTCAAACAGGCTGAACGGCAAACAGGTGCTCTTTGTTTGAGGGTGGAATGAAATAATGAAAACAATAGGCTGGATGTGTATTTGTCCTCTGAAGAGTAAGGAAAGGCTTTAATTATTCTAGATAACAGCAAAACTTGGTAATAGATTATCATCAACTCATCAAAATCATCCACTTGACACTATCTAATCTTTATCAATCACCTTCATGTGTTTTAAAACCTCATGTTGTATTTCATTGCTGACTGAAATGTATTTCACTCTGACACAAGCCTAAGTAAACACACACATGTTTTCTTTCCACTCAGAGGAACAGGAACATTCTACATCTAAATGCTAGTTCCTCGTTCCTCGCTAGAAACTTCCTTATCTGATCCTCTGTTTGCCTCTCCTTGCTTTCAGTCCAGGACTACAGTGCAGAAGCTGGCCGTTACTCCTAAGTGGACCAACTACGGGCTCAGGATATTTGGTTATATACATCCATACACTGACGGTAGAACATGTCGTCTTTCATCTGCTTCCTGTCAGTTACCACACTGAGCACATGCATGCAACACACTCCCCAAATCTGTCTCTTTATCGCTTTGTCTTTCTTTTCTTTTTTCCTCTTCGCTATCAGGAGAGTTTGTGTTTGCTTTGAGCTCTGATGACAACTCTGAGTTTTGGCTCAGCACAGATGACTCCCCCTTGAACTTGCAGTTACTAGCATGGGTTGGAAAGGTAAGAATGGCTGTCATTTTTTAAGCCCCTTAGAGCCATGTTAGATTTATTATAATCTGATAAAATCATGTCTGTGTTTTTTTTTTTATCAGACTGGTAAAGAATGGACAGCCCCTGGGGAGTTCGAGAAGTATGCCAGTCAAACCTCCAGACCAGTTTGGTGAGTTCACTGATTGTAACTTGACATGACTGAAAGACATTCTAGCTAATCTTTAGTATTTCCTCATAACAGGAATAAACGTAACTAAGCAAACTCTATACATTTTTTGTTAACAACTGACCTGTTTCTTCACAATTATGTGGGTGTGCCTTCATCACTGTTGAAATACTGGTTGGTGCACAAACAATTGGGCTCACGTCTTTTCCCATCTGAGTCCCTTCCACCTCAAGCCAATGACTACAGCACAATTACAGCAACATTGAAATACATCTATTTAAGAAAATAGCAATAAAAAAGCATGTATTATGACCCACTTGCATTAAAGGCTTTATATGTGATTTTTCACACTTAAATATAATATAAATCAAGTATATCCTCTGAAAATAACTCTGTGAGTCATGACTGCCTACAATGAGTGTAACACCCGAGTCCCACTGTCTGTGATGTTTTCAGAGTTTTCAGAGTCCTATCTTCAGTTTGTTTACATCGCCAGGACGGCCGGCTGACTCCTCCCCTCGTGTATAAAAGTTGTTTAATTGAGGGACTAGAGAAAAGAAGAATAACATACTGTACTCACTGCTTAACTGTGTTTCTAGATCACGCTCATTTCAGGTAAATTTACATGCAGTGTGAAGGTACGAGCATAATAAAGATCGCTAGCATTAGCATGCTAACACAACAATGCACCGCGAGTTGTTTTGGTTTCATGCTGGTGCATATATTTATTTGCATATAAAGCCTTTAAGTAAAGAAGCTGCTGTAGAAAAAAGGTTTTCACATATTGTAGCTTTATAATGTTGGATCATTTCAAAGTGCTCCTCCGATCACTTCACGGGGCGCTATACTGCATCCATCACTGTTTTTGCAAAAGCTAAAATCACAAACTTCCAGTGTCCATTTCAGACAGCATCAGCGGAGTAGCAGAAGTGTGATCTCACTCATCTCATAAAAATAGTGAGGAGAGAGATGGCGGATTGCAAAACGATTAGTGTAGCCCCGGTGCTTCATATTTTGTCAAATATTTTGGAGGGCAACGTGAAGTTTCAATATGTTTTGTAGACTGGTAATGAGGTGTACTGTATGTGTTCCATGATTCTCTGCTGGCCACGCCTCGTTTTACCTTTCCACACCTCCTAAAATGATATGTTGATTTTTTACACGAGTTGCATTGTGGGAATCCTAGAAATCTGCCTTTTTTGAAAGTTTGATTCTCAGCAAGGTGTTACAGTCCTTGGGTTTTAAGGACCCATATTGACCTGTTTTTTTATTTGTCTCCTATAAGTCCCTTGTACTTTGAGAGCAGTGCATACTAGATTGCAGGAGTAAGCACATCAAAGCAGTGGAAACGTCTTCTCTTAATAACCTCAGCTTAAGCATTTCTGTGTGAGTGTATCTCTGCCCCTCTGGAAATGAAACCTGTCTTAAGACTTAAGGCGGTTTTTACTGGTAATGTGACAGGAAGTTTTCTAGGCTACAGAATCTCGACCATTTTTGGAAAGTTGCCACTAACTACGGAAAAAAACTGAATGTTCATTCAAAATGTTTGATGTTTGACTCTCCAGGAGGGCCAAACTACTACTAAATGAGAAAAAATGATATCTGTAAGGTTCTGATTAATGTGTGTAGTTTTTTTCTGTGATGCTGCTGCTCCCTTGAAATAGTAAGTGGTCGGACAAACACGCACACAAACCAACAATCAGACAAAAGCCTCTACAACGAGCAGTTCTCACTTTTTATGAAAATTAGCACGGTTGTATCATTTTTCAAAGGGAAACCCAGAGTGCAGTAGATTCATTTTTGAATAAACTTGACTGAAAGACAATATAACAAATATATTGTTATATACTTTTAGTTCCCTCTAGGCCGGCCATAATATCCACAGATCTTTCCCTTATTGTCAACAAACAACTTAAGTCCTGCATATTGAAATCACATTTAAATGATGCTCTACCCTAATGCAACCTTTTATTTTGTGACAGGTTATCTGCTCAGGGAAGGTACTTTTTTGAAGTTATCCACAAGCAAAACGACAGAGGGACCGACCACGTGGAGGTGGCAGTAAGTAGTTATGGGATATCTTCTCTCATTACTTTTATCTTGTGACTGTACAGTGTGAGTGATAAAACGGGAGAGACATGTTGTTCTTTGTGTGTTGTTTTTTTTTCCACAGTGGCAGCTTACGGACCACGACAGTAGATTCATGGTCATTGAATCTCGTCACATCTCTCTCTATGTTGGTAAGTAAACACACACACACACACACACACACACACACACCAGGACATAGGCGATTACAGACCCTTCGTAGGGGTGCTTCAGCAAAGCTAAATGTAATCTCTGCACACCTAAATAAAAAACAGGGACATGAGCCCCCCACCAGATTTTTTAAATTTGAAGGGAAATAATATTTTAAGTAAAAAAAAGAATCCTTTGCTTCTACCATACAGCAACCCGTATCCCCAACACTACATGTAAATTAAAATCAAAGTGATAATTCCCTTGTCAGGATGCAAAGGAAAATCTTTGCCTTCCTTTCTTAATAAAAGGCAGAAAAACCCCAGAGGTCAGTGATGCAAGAGGTAGGATATTTTAGGTTAAAAAATGACTTACTTACTTAACAGAAAGTTAATTTATTTAGTGAGAAAATATCCAGAAAATTTACTTTTCTTGACTAAAAGTAGTCATTATACAGTGTTGCCCTGCATTTAAAACTTTGATATAATTGAACAATGGTATTGGAATTGAAATATGGCTCAACAATGAGTATAATTATATTAAATGCTGAATTCCTTTATGACAAATAAAACTTTCATAATGCAAATAATAATACCGGAAGGAATTGAATACTTTTGCAACAACAGTATATTCCATCTTTCCTCTCCTTACCAACCAGTTTGTGGTGTAAAACTCATGTGACTTCATGTGACTGTTATTGCTTTTAATAAAAAATCTCACATGGAGGAAAATATTTCTTGTTCATGAAGTAACTGGTTTAGCAGCAGGATTAAACTGGAACTCTACATGTCATAATTCCCTTCGGAGCTGAGCACTCCTAAAGGTCTGATCCTAAAATTGCAGCTGACCCAGGATAACACTTCTGAATCTGTTAGTCTAAAAGAAACACTCCTCTCATACTTGTGATCTGTGGCTTCATCTAACAGACGAGTCAGCATTGTTAATGAGTGACATCGCACACATACCACAAACCGACGCGAGCCACCAACGCACCCCTGCAAAACAGAGCAGCGTCGCAGCAGACATGCTGAGGGAAGACCTGCGAGACACTCTCTACAAGGGTGAGAGATGTCTCTGTTTTCTTTTTTTTGCAAATGAAATCTGTCATTCCTTCCATTCCAGATAAAAGTCATGTGCACTTTTTTTTTCCTTCCACTGAATGCCCCAAAGAAGTCAAATAACTGTGTTCTCCTTTTTTTTTTTTTTTTTAGTGCCTTTGATGAACAGCAAGTTATTACAAGGTGTGCTGCCCGACTGCTCGTACAACCCAAGCTACACAATCAAGGACTTTCCTCTGATGCGCTACCAAGGACTGCAGTTTGTATGTATTCCTCCAGCTTGTGTTATTTAAGAACTCTAAAGTGCATGATGTGAAAAAAACAATAAAGGTTTTGAATTAAAGAGCAGGACAACAATTATCTTGCAAACATAAATGAATTATTATTATTAATAATGTAACAACTTTTTGTGTTTATAGCGGCCTGTGGAGGCTCCCTTCATTTCTAATAGCACTACCTTATTTTTTTGTGTTCCTGATGTGCTTAACATAATTGTCAACCATAAATTGACATTAGTGAGGTTTTAAATTTAAAGATGATCAAGACACTTTGCATCTATTAGAAAACCGTTTAGTTTCCCGTCCTCTGATTCTACATCCTTTATGTCCATCGTTTTATTATATGTTCATCAGGGTAGGGTTGGTTGTAACCTCACAAAACGCCAGCCGAGTGATATCCGTACACATAACTACTGAAAACCACAACATATATTAAATAAAAATGTGGGAATGGCTTTTTAAAACATTAAACAAACAAGATATGACAAATCTATACATAAGCTTTTCAGATGCTAATAGATGCTTTTTAAAAAAATTTTTACATGGACCTTGTTAGCTGATTGTGCCTGTTAACAGCCTTATGCTAAGCTAAGCTAGCTGATCATTGGCTGTAGCTTCTTCTTTTGCAACAGACAGACTTGAGAGTGGTGCATTATTATCTTATTATCTTTAGGAATGATCGAACTGCTTCTTCAGAAAAGGCCGTATTTCTGGTTTGGATGAGTCATAGTCATTAGTCAGAAATCTTGAAGATCTCAGTTTCAATCTCTTTGTGAGCATCAATGGCTCTAAGTCTGTAATAGAAGATGTAAATAAGAGTCAGACGGTGTCCATTTGTCAAATCTGCAGTTTTTCCTTTCGATTTCTTCCTGTTTTTGAAATTCATTGTCTATTGCTACCCACCTTTTCTTTGATTGTGCAGCCGCTTACACGTAGCAGACTCATGAATGTCTTTCAGATTGTTACTATAATCTGGGAAACATAAAAAAAAAAAAAATCACTTGTTGTTGTCGTTATCTAACCTTTAAAAACACCTGTTTGATCACCGCAGGGTGGCGGTTGGATAACCCTTATTATACAAGATCTCATGATTCATCAGTAAGCTCTCACAGCTTAAGCAGCATGTCTATTCATTTCATCTCCCCAGGTCCACTTGTCCTACATCTACCCCAATGACTACACCCGCCTAACACACATGGAGACAGAGAAAAGCTGCTTCTACCAAGATAGCCCCTACTACAGGAAGATGTGAGACCGTTTTGCATAAACTTTAAAAATAATAATAATAGATACATGTGTAGTAAGACTTATTGTAACCCAGTACTAAATGGAAATGTATGCAAAAGTGCACAACTGACATATCAATTCATCTTTATTTGTATAGCGCCAATTCATTACAAATGTTATCTCAAGGCACTTTATAAAAAGCAGGTAAAATAACTTACTCTTTATGTTATATTAAAAAAGAGCAGGTAAAATACCTTACTTATTGCTATATTACAAAGAATCAACATTAATCCATCATGAGCACTAAGCAACATTAAGCAAAGTTACAGTGGAATAAAAAACTTCCTTTTAAGTGGCAGAAATCTTGAGAAAAAACAGACTCAAGATGAACAGCCACCAACTGCTCTGGACCTTCAGGGAAGCAGGTTTATTCATAACCAATAGAGGGTGATGTAACACTAAATCTGCTTAGAATCTTTTACACAGCATAATAGTGTTCTTAACATATCACCAGGCACCGTAACTTCTTTCAAATCTCTGTATAATGTCTCGTGTTTTCCGCTCTTGTCATCAGGTTTGGTTTTTCGAGGTACATGAGACTAGACGGTCCTGAAAAGGAAAACATTGGCATGGGTAATTTGTACTTATCTTTTCTGCATAACAGATCAAATTGCTTGTATCCCAATTGTGTACATCACACTCTCCTTTTCTTACCCTGCTTCTGGTGAATATTAGATTTTGGTTTCCAGAAAAGAAAATCCGAGCAAGATGAGGAGGACGAGTTTGACTTTGAAGCCTATCAAAGAGAAAAGGAAGCCAGGCGGGGCCAGATAGATAATGCTCTTTTCCCGGACTATGGTGACGATTTTGATGACTATAACCAGAGACGCAGGCGAAAACTCTTCTCATTGGCCAATCAAGAATCTAACAATGCACTCAAGAACGCTTCTGTTACAAGACTGCGGGTGCCAAAGACTCAACCAGTGGCACAACAACCTGCTGAGCCCCTGCAATTAGTGCCAATGCAATCCTCAAAACAGGTAAAACCAAAAATGAATCCAAAACGAGTAAAGAGGAAATTGCTCAAATCTGTGAAAAAATCTGTGAGACAAATACAGAAAAATGTAACAATACCAGTGGGTAGACCGAAGCGTAATAAAAAGAAACGAGCCGTCAGAGTCAAGTCAGAACAGCTAAATCCTAAACAGCTTCAAATCCAGAAGGCCCATAAAATGAATGACACCCAAATCCAAAGAATCAAAACCGTAAATCTTCGACCTGTAAAGAGGGATGTTCCTTTGCTTGAAACATCCAAAGTGGCCAAGCAATGGAAAAATGAAATTGAAAAAGGAGCAATGGAGCTCGATCAAACCTCCACCAAGCGTTCCACCACCCCTAAGAGGGAGCATCCTTTAGTGAGATCCAATCAGAGGGGCCGATATAGAAGAAAACACCTCAGGGATATGGATGTATTGATGAATGTGACTCTTCAAAAGGATCTGGACAATAGCGTTCGCAGAGCAAAGATAATCACGAGTGGGAAAAAAGACACAAAGTGGTCGGATACAAATAGAGGTGAGGAGCAAGTGGGCGATGAGGACGAGGTTCAGAACAGGGCTGTGATCAGGAAGGAAACTGTAGAGATGGAGAAAGACTCCCTGTGGGGACCAGTAGGAGACTTTGAAGGTATGGATGACGAGGATAGCACCCCAGCACCGGTGTTTGACCCCGAGATAAACTGGAACCAGACCTTCCAGGTCAGCCCCCTGGACCTTCAGGCAAAGCGATCGGATTGGATAGACCTGCACTGCAACATCTCAGGCAACCTGCTGTTCCAAGCCAGTGAAGCTATGCCCATGGTGGAGGCTTTCATGGAGCAACTCAACAACAAGCACCACGGGTACGTGTTTCTATTTGTACAAGCATCAGCACCTGTGAATTATCTGGATCATACCTTTGTGCTATGAATGAGACCTTTAAAATACATATACCCCGGGGCGCTGGTGGCGCAGTGGTATGTGCGCACGCCCCATGTGTGGAGGCCTTGGTCCTCCAAGCGGGCGGCCCAGGCTCGAATCCGACCTGTGGCTCCTTTTCCCGCATGCCGTTCCCTACTTTCTCTCCCTGATTTCCGACTCTATCCACTGTCCTATCTCTCCAAAATAGACAAGATCAGAAATTAAACTTAGAATTGTCTTAGTGACATCATCATTTCTAATAAGATAACAAATAAAAAAATGACCCAAAAAAGGTTTTAATGCATTTATTTTCTGTAATTTGGTATCCGTTTCATATCTCATCAAGGTTCATCTTTTTGCTTCTTTTGACTGCTGTCTGACATCATCCTTCTGTTTGCTTCTTTGACCAATTCACTTCTGTTCACATAACCCTCAGTGCCCCCGCAAGTAGTCAACAAGTAGTGACTAACATGGAGCGTGTGATGTTTCCTTAACAGATGACTCAAAGCAATAATGTTGACATACTTTAGTATCTGAAGATATAAGTTATTTAAAGGTACAATCATGTTAAAAGATTGCACATTTCACTTTGTTCCTTTACATTCTGTCTGACCTTGCAGACAGTATACACTGGTCCGTGTGGTCAATGTGGTGAAGCGTGTGGACACGATCCAGGGCAACCGCTACCTTCTGGAGCTGGAGCTGAAAGACGTGCACGGCCATCTGCTGCGCCTGTCGCACTACATTTATGCTCTGATTCGCCACAGCAGCCTGAGCGAAGACAACTTCGATTACCATCAGCCCAAACCTCAGCCCAAACCTCAGCAGGTGCTGTGCAACCCCGTGGGCTTCCGCTGGAATCCTACTGCAACCGTCCACTTCATAGTACCAGGTACACCCGCCATTAACCAACTTCATTTATGCCATTTCACTCATCAAACCATTTCTTTCCTGTTTTGCTCCTTTTAGAGTTAGATTTTTCTTTTTGAGTCTTAAAATTCACAAAAAAAAACATTCATCCAAATGGTCCACAGGTGTTTTAAGTTTAGAAAAATATCATTTCACCAAAAACAATGACTCAAACAGTTTAACTAACTTTTAAAAAAAAGTAACAAGCGACAAAATATAATAAACATCATCTGTTCATCAACTTCTACTTAGACTCATTCTTCTGTACCATATTGACAATGAAATGTCCTAACAACAGAAATCCTGTAAATATCTACTAGGTAAGAAAAGGGAGAGCTGTATTAGTCTCTTTTGTCCTTTACTGTCATATTGCAGTCATAAAAACATTCAGATCTCACTGGACATTTTAGTAAAAAAAAAAGCCTTCAGGAAGTCTTTTGTATGTGAGGGAATAAAGACAGTCTGCCTCGGTCAAGATCTTAAAAAGCAATGTTCTAATGGAAGACACAGTTGGCATCATCTGATAGCAGTTCTGTCAAGTTTATTCTGATGTATTATGCGTCTGTGTGTGATGACAGCACTCAAACACATGCATACCTCTTAACAATGATTATGCTGCTTTATGGCACAAGTGTTAAAGAGGTCATATTCTGTCCTTTTTAGGGTTCGTATATTTAGTCTATGTACCTACTTTTGTACGTTCACAATAGCTAAAGTCAGAAAAAAGTGTCTGTTTTCATGTACTGCTCCTCCTTGCTCCCTCTACGCTCTGAGTCCGTCAGCTGCACTCTGTTGAGCCCACACTGTTAGACCCCACGTGGGCCAAGTCTGCTCTGATTGGTCTGCCGATCCGCTCTGTCGTTATTGGTCAGTTGCTCAGCACGCTTCTCGGAAATTTCAACATGAGCTGCAGGGCTCACCACAACGAGCCAATGGGCTTAGATCAGTGATCTCACATGACAAATGTTTATCGAGGGGGGCTAGAACCGAGCGTTACATGCAGCTAATGTTACAGCTAACAGGAGGAGGTAGGAGAAGCCGCGTTTCCGCAGACTTTGAATTTTTGCACATAGATGTGACTAAACATGCACAGGACACTTGGAAAACACACTAAAGAGCATATAAAACCAGAAAACGCATAATATGGGACCTTTAACATGCTCACATATTACCACTGCCATGAACAGACTGTCCTTTTCAGGTTTTTTTTTTTTGTTAATTTATGAATTACCACACATCTTTCGCAGTGAAAAACCAGGCCCGGTGGGTGCAGCAGCTGATATCTGACATGGAACAGCTGTTCAGAGAAACGGGAGACATGAACTTCAATCTCATCATTGCAGACTACAACAGCACTGACATGGACGTGCGGAGTGCTTTGCAGAAATCCAAACTCTTCAGGTGAGGATGAGTGTGCGTCACTTACAAACCAAGCGGAAACCCCAAAAAATGAAGCCTGTGAGGAATCGCAAAAAAAAAACAAAAAAAACTGCAGTTCCGAAAGTGTCCACTTGAAGATGGCTCCAAAAGACCCGGAAGTCACATAAACACCCCATGTTAAAATGTACAATTTGACAGCCTGGTACAAAATGTGATTTTGGTGTGAATAGCTAAAGTGAATTGTTTTGTAACTCAGCCTTTTTTTGAATTTTATTAAGTATAAGTATTTATTAAGTATTATAGTTAATCATATTAAGGGGCGTAGCAGTTATGACTGATGGGCAGGCTTGTTGTTGCTGTTTTTCAGAAGGCCTCGAAAGTTATCTTGAGACAACATTTCCAATATGGCCACCTTAATAGTTGAGTTTCAGAAACCAGTGTATGACATCACAGGGACTATGTCCATGTACTCTATGTTAAAAACTGAGCTTGTTGAACAGGATGTGTGTGTACTGAAACTGTTTGTAATGAATTGATCAGGTACCAGTATGTGAAGCTTGGTGGAAACTTTGAGCGCTCTGCTGGTCTACAAGCAGGTATCAACCTTATAGATGTGAGTATTGATGCATCACTCAGCAAATGCAGCGTTAAAATGAAGTGATAGATGTGAGTAGACAGCAATTATTTAAAAAAACAACTATTTTCCCCTTCCTTCTCCCTCAGAATGACCACAGCATTGTGTTCCTCTGTGACCTACACATTCACTTCCCTCCCTCCATCATCGACACCATCAGGCAGCACTGTGTGGAGGGATACATGGCCTTTGCTCCAATTGTCATGAGACTGGACTGCGGGTCTACGCCAGCTGAACCCAGAGGTAGCTGGAATATGACACTAACTTTTTTTTAAGCTGCAATCAAAAAATTAAGCTCTTCAGTCAAACATTTTCAGAAGTGTTTTTAGGAGTTTGAATTAAATTAAATTAACGAGAGATTTTTTTTTTAGAATCAGTACATAAAAATAAGCACTCCTCTTGTCTTACTCAGAACAATGTCGTAATTTACTCCAAAAATACAGCAGTATTATGAGCTGGTAAAATTGTCTCAAATGATGCTAAACACTGAGAAGTTCCTAACTTTTTGTCAAAGTGTGTGCAGAAAGCCTTTTAAAAATCACCGGAAAGAGAGCGCAAGTTAAAGGAAGCATACTTTGTTTTTGTTTTTAAGCGCTCTATGTTCACTTTAGAGATTCAGTCTTCATTCTCCACGCCTCTCTTTATCTCTTATTCTGGCATTGACATTAACAAATGTTGCTGGATAGCCATACAAACCTGTTATGTATCAGCCATGCTGTAAGTATTATGTCATCGGGTCATGCCAGGTTGCAACCTTTTGGCAGGTGTAGATTAATAAAAAACACATTAATATGAGGAAGGCAGTGGTCATTGTAGGACATGTACTGTGTGACTCAGACAGCATGTGACTCACCAACAAGTAACACACAACAAGAGAGAACTAAATAATGTGCAAAGGTTTAAATGATGTAGCCACTGAAGGGGAAAATAAAGGTTTTCCTGGAGAATGTGCATACATGTTTTTTGTCTGTGTTGCAGGTTACTGGGAAGTCAATGGCTTTGGCCTGCTGGGGATCTATAAATCCGATTTGGATGCAGTGGGAGGAATGAACACCAAAGAATTCACAAACCGCTGGGGAGGAGAAGACTGGGAGCTTCTTGACAGGTGTGTCCACGCCTTCTTAACATCCAAATGATGTCCTCGTTCACTTGCAGTAACCAGTCCATGCACGTTGTTTGTAGAGTTAAATAAACATTTGGAGAGTGAGTAAACACTGAAGGAGAAAAAGCTCAGTTGGTAGAGCAAGCATCCCATGTAAAGAGGATAGTCCTCATAGCACTGGTCGCAGGTTCAACTCCTGATCCTGATGCTGTTTGGTGCATGTTGTCCCCCTCCCCCCCCCCCCCCCCCCCCGCCTCTCTATATCTGTCCTGACAAAGAAAGCCCTCTGGTTTCTGTTGCAGGATTCTTCAGGGAGGGCTGGAAGTGGAGAGGATCTACTTGAGGAACTTCTTCCACCGCTTCCACTCCAAACGTGGCATGTGGAACCGGCAGATGATTCCCAGCAACAGGTGACCTTATGTCCTGTCGCCTCACTATGACCAGGGTCGCCACGGTTACAACAACCATGGCCACCAGAGCACTTTAAACAGCTTAAGCCTGCGTTAAGCTGATGCTAGTTGCTAAGGAGATACTTCTGATATACTCCATTTGTTTCACTGGATGTGTTAACTACTGAGAGGATACTGCTCTGACTATGAGATCTTACATATGAAGATACTGCTGTGCACCATGTTGCTGACTTTGACTATAATGATCTGCACTGCTGGCTGCAAAAAAAGAACCCTCCAAAAACAGAACATGAGTTAAAAGACATGGTTCACTCCCAGAAATCACACATCAAGTGTCCCATAACTTTAAGCACAAGAGTCTTAACTGGAGGAAAAACTGTTTTGTATCTGGCATAATGCAAACTGACTGCCATTTGTGTATTTGGTAAAACACAGCCTTATTTGTTATGTTGTAAATTATAAAAAAGATATATATTTATTATATCAGTGTTTTTAGGATTTTTTTTTTATGTCAGTTGTCAAGTGCTCTTTTGTGTTTGCATTGACACAAATTGTGCCTTCTGTTGTCACTGCTACTCAGGTACTGGGGCCACAAAGGTCTGTTTTTTGTGTGTGTTACATACAGGAAAAGCCTTAAAGTGGAAAAAAAAACATTTTAAATTGAAGTGATTCCTTTCATTGATGGTAGCATTTAGTTTTATCAGAGGACAGTCCATTGTGTGTTTTATACAGAAAGGATATTCAAATATTTTTTTGACATCTCCCTTTCCTTACACTGCTGCAATTTACTAAAAGAGAATTGATGGATGAACTGCAGAAAGGTCATACAGATTTGTTTTTACTCACATGTCATGCTATCGAAAATCTGCTGAACCTAACAAATTTTATTTGTTTTAATGAGTCTGTATTTTAATCAGTTTATGACGCCTCCCATTCTAACATTAGGAAATACTGTTTTTGTGTCGAAACAGTCAGGACATATAGTGAAAGAAACATGATCTTGTGTATTTATTACATTGTTTTATTGTTATTTAAGACCAGCGAAACGGCAGCATTTTCTCACAGCTCACATTCCTGTTCAGCAAGTCTTTGTGGGGACACTGGTGGCGCAGTGGTTAGTTCGCGCGCCCCGTGTATGGAGGCTGTCGTCTCAAGCGGGCTTCACCTGTGGCCTCTTTCCCGCATGTCGTTCCCCACTCTCTCTCTCTCTGATTTCCGACTCTATCCACCGTCCTATCTCTCCATTAAAGGCACAAAAAGCCCCCCCAAAAAATCAATTAACTTGATAGCTGTTGAACAGTTTCAGCTGAGATTTAAGGAAATAATAACACAATTCTCATGTAATGCCAAAACAATGCTGTTTTATTTTTTGTTAAGCAACACTGCCAGGAATTGTGTTGCGTTTATTTTATTTTTTCCCAGCCTGACATCCTCTTGTACTGAAGAACTTAAGCTTTTGTAATGCAGATACTGATTTGGCAGGGATGTTAGATGTTTCTCTTCTCGGTCCATTTCTATTCTCTTACTTTCTCTTCTTCCATTAGATATACCTCATCATCTCCACCTTTGTGCTGGGAATTAACCTCTTTGTCCAGTTCTGGATTCTCTTCACTTAGGGTTATGTTTGTTTGTGTCATTTTTCTACTGCTTTGACAAATTTGTGGAATAAACTTCTCGTGGCTTAATTTCATTTAAACTGTGTGCTTTTTAATATTGTCGCCGTGTGAGTAGCACTTGCAAAGTGAGACGAGTTTTACATTTCAAATAAAACAAAACCAAGTTATTTGACTAATTGTGTTAAACCTGGAATTATAAGACCAAAACAAACCTAAATGGTCTAAAGGCTCTTCCAGTTTGTAAAACAAGATTTTCAGATTATTTCGCTGTTTAAATGCCTGGTTCTTCTCTTTTTACTCATATTTCTATACAACCATAGATTGATTTTAACCAAATAATTTTGGTTGATTGCATAATCTGACTACAATTTATTGATAACTACTGTATCTGTGGCATACAGGAAACCTTTCAAAGCAGTCTGTATGTCCTCACTTTATAAAGGTCGGTTAAGATGTTATCAATATGACAATGTTGTGACATAATGTGACATGTGGAAGATACTCTGCTTCTCAATCTCGCCAACACATCTTAATTATACACAGGTACTCCACATCCAGCTCATGACCGTGTGGTTTATGTGGTCATGCTACCTGATTATAGTGGAAGCACAGTTACTGTATGACTTAATCTGGTCATATTATTCTCAGTACATTCAAAGTGAATTCCCTTTTGTTACACAGCTGCAGGGGGGGGGGGGGAGTTCAAATGGTGTCTTTCCTGTGCTATGATTTTACTTCAATCAATCAGCCACTGAAAAGTCTATAAATATATAAATTCTGGAAAGAAGTCTGTCAAATTAAATATTTAATAACCAATAAGCTACCAATAGACAACAGCCAAAGTAAGCATTTTATACTTTGTGAGCAGTCAAACAGCATTTGGAAAATGTCCGCCAAGTGACTATGGTCAATGGTTTCTTGCTGTTTGGGTGGTCCTGCGACTTGAAAATGAATCTAGATTGCTGATTATCATGGCCCAAGAGAATACTTTTTTGTCTATACAGAGGCTTTATACATATACATACACGTAAACCACTAGGTAAGACAAAAGAAATCTGAGAACATAACCAGCACGACTCTGAGGCATGAGGACAATTTAAAGCATTTAAACTGCTCTGCACAGTAAGAATATATATATGTATATATGTACACTGGTACAAACTATATTTGCACAGATGCCCACGAGTGCTCGTACATTATTTCAGAGGCTGCTGACTCCATCATTCAACCTTCATCTTACTGACAAACTATGATATCAATCCAAGGACGTCCAGTGTTTACTGTTTATTATGTGACAGGAATTCGTTCCAGTCCAGGGGAAAGGCTAAGTATATCCTGCCTCTGACAGTAAATATCTCAGGTGCTTTGTGCCTAGTAGGTCAATGGCATAGTTTAGCAGAGACTGTACATGATTAACAACAACAAAACCCTTTTAATAACTTTAGAGGACAATGTCAATGTCAAAGGTATTGCAAAACTTCAACAAAAGTATTCTCCAGAACATTTGCCTCAAATTTAATGTGAATAAATCTTGGTTAAACAAATGATAGGCATAATGTACAAATGTATTGTATTTTTCTTCTACAGTACAGCATTATCAGGCAGTAATATACTGTGTATTCAGAATGCTATGAACAAGGGACATTTTATTTTATTTTATAAAGGTTTTGCATTTTTTCTTTTTTATATACATATATATTTTTTAACATTCAATCTGTTGTAACACACTTCTAACTTGTTAACCTTATGCATCAAACATCTTCTTCCTGCCCTTCATATCAGACATGGCTTCCACGTTCTTACGCCAGTCACCCACCTCCATGTTCATCTCCTTAAAAAGACACACACACACAAAAACACACATTAGGTTTTTGCAGTTTCTTTCTTTTATAAAGATTTCAGATATATCTGATAGAGTAGCCATACCTTCTCTTGTTTTATGTCCTCTTTCTTTACAGACTTCAGGTTTCCCCTCAGGTCCACGGACTCTTTGGTTCTAGAGCCAAAGAGAGCTTTCATCATCTCGTCCGCTGACACTCTCACCTTCCTCAAAGCTGGCTTCTTGAACTTTCCTCCGAGGTCCTGCACTTTGAGATTCAGTTCATATATCTGTAGGTGTAAACAAAAACAAAAAAAGGTGTGAAAGTTTTGTTGATAAAGAGCAATCTTTCTTTTATATACTTCTAAATAAGTATTTCATATTAAATCTGCTTTGTTGGGGGGATAACATACATCTCTGTAGTTCTTGAAGACTTTGGCTTCAAAGTCGTATCGCTCTTCATCCACCGCATCAATCTGTGAATGCATCTGCTGACAGATTTCCTGCGAAAACAAGGAACATGAACAATCTTGTATAGTTTGGTCTCTGGGTCTCTGTGTTGTTTTCATTTTTTTTAATCAGATTTTGTTTTAAATTCTTGCCTGCAGTTCATCCATGTTTAAGGCAGTGAGCTGCAGTGGGGGAAGCTTTTCTCCAATGTAGCGAACCTTCTCTTCTTCTCTCGCAGCCTTCTCTGCCTCCAGCTCCTCCGACGCACGAGTCAGCAGAAGGATCTGAAGGTGTCGGCGGGAACATAGGTAGAGGTTTGTGTGCAGAGAAAGGGTCTCTGATGTAAATAGATTTGTGCAGTGTGTAATAAGTTCAAATATCAAATTTAACACATTTTTGTCAAAAAGTTACCTTCAACGATAGTTTACGGGAGGCTGAAATCTTGCATTTGGGCTGAAAACAATAGAAAATATAAAAAAATCAACATTTTAAGTAGCCTAAATATGTTGTAATTCAAATGTACATATTACTCTAATTGCTTATAATAAGTTCCTGGTTTGAAACAATTACAGATGCTAATTGTGCTAAGTGTCTTTCTAGTCTTTTGGCCACACACACACACACACACACACACACACAAACACACACACACACACACACACACACACGCAATGTCTTCAGGTGCTATTTGAGGCTAAAATATCTTGCCCAAGGACAATATATCTTCTCATTGGTGGACAACCAGTTCTAACTCCAAGGTCACAGCTGCCCCTTGTTTACGTTTCACCCTCTTATCATCTTCCTTTATATCTTACTATACAGTAGCAGCTCATGCTGTCATGGATTTGTCAACAGAAAAAAAAAAGTTGTAATTCACTCATCTTAGTACCTTGTGTCCCATGTTATCTCTTTGAAAATGTCCTTCTTAATTTAAATCTTATTCACAGCATTAAAGCTTAGGTAGCTAAAAAAAAATAAAAACCTCTTACAATCAAATTGTAAGTAGCACATGGACATTGTTAATTCAATGGAATGAATATTCCATGCGACAGAGAGTTGTTATGATAGGACATGATACAATCTGCTCTGTAAATCTGTTTTCTGCAGGGTAGTTATTTGGGTAAACAGATTGAGATATTCAAACATGCAAACACTTGAAACGTCTGCACAATGGGAATATCATTCCTAGACACGCTGTCAGTTCATTACCTTTCCTTCTGGCTTGGCAGCCATGGATGGTGGTCTGTACTAATGAGAAAAAGAATAAAGAAAAAGCATTTCAGCCATAAACAACCTCTAATTCCTTTCAACTTTTTCTGAATTTTTGAGCTGAGACATCATTTTAAGACATGCAGGATTTGACTTACATCACTGCGATGGCCATGTGGAATTTGTTGGAGCAAATAAATCAGAAATAGACAAGCCAACAAAAGACACTGTTATTATTCTGGGACTAGAATGCTTCACAGGACAATAAATGCTGGAAAACTAAGTCTTTAAAGTGTGTGATGGCAGAACTTACTCATCAGACATTGTTGAGCCTTTTATAAACAACAAACAAAAGAGAAAAATAGTTCAGTGGTGCACATATAATTTAATCCAGGGAATGCTGTCAAACATTTTTTTTCAGGAGTGAGAAATTAGCAGTAGGTTATTTAACGGTTATTGGATTGATCGTCTATTGAGAAGATGCAGCCTATAACAATAATAATAATAATAATAATAATAATAATAATAACAATAATAATAATAATAACTTTATTTATATAGCACCTTTTAAAAACACAGGTTTACAAAGTGCTTTGACAAACAGCAAAAACAAGAACAAAGCAAACTAAACCAAACAGCAAGAACATAAACAACAGCAAGAACAAACAAATGCAAAATATTAAAAATAATTAAAAACAATTCAACAGAAAAGAACCCATACTGCACCCTATCACTGCTCTAAATTCTCTGGTTAAAAACATGACTTGTCCTACCTCTTGTAGCAAGTTTCTCCCCCAAAATGACAGAAAACAGACTCGTTGGCAGTGATTTGGCTGTCAGTGTAACATATGTTTGGTACTTTGAAATAAGGACTTAGTGAGACATCATGTCCTTTTGTAAAGCCTCTCTGGCTTTATGACTCCGCCCACCTCTCGGTAAAAAAAAAGAAAAGAAAAAAAGAAGATGTTTGGCCGGTCAACGGGATTTGTGGGTTTAAACTCTGCTCGTAAACTCAAGAAGTCTCCACTGACTGGTTTGATTGTCACCTCTGTTGGACAGGATGGTGTCCTATGAACAAACAGAATGGATCCCAGTAAAGCACTCCTGGTTATAGGACTCAGCCATATTTTAAATATTCATTATCATTAAATGTAGACTATCTAATGTTTGCAGGGAAAGACAAGATACAGATGTGTTTGTTCTTTCTGTTGCTGTTGCTCAAAAGTACATGTCAACTTTTAAGTTTTATTAATTGTATGGTGCTGTCTAATGCTGAAACTAGGATTAATAAACTACATTTTCAGATTGGAGGCCCAGTAAAAATGTCCACTTCTGTTACCTATAGTTTAACATGTTGACATCTGCTATTAGTCCAAAGAAGATAAAACCAGTGAAGCTGCTGGAAATGTCTCTTGTTTTACAGGTGTTTGACCAAATAAGCCTGATTAGCTCGTAAATTGTCTAAAGAGGACATGTATGAATTACATTACATGGCAATCCATCCTCTAGTTTCTAAGCAATTTTACTAAAAAAAATCTCTGACCATCACTTTCTTGGTGCTTGGGATGAGGTACCGATAATGTGAATATGAATGTAGTTAAAGTGAAATGTTTAACCCGCTGATGTCACATCTGCATGAATAATGATAAAAGACCTGTAGTACACTTTTTGATAGCCTATGTTCCATGTGGCCTATCAGATTTAAGTATTTAAAAAAAAACTTTAACATAAATAAAGGGATTTAAAGATGTGTTACTGCCATACAACAGCTTGAATACAGGCCTAGAATGGGAAGAGTAAAATAACATTTGTAAAGAGCAGTTTTATGTGAACTAGCCTATTATAATTGGGAGACAGACACGAGCTCTGTGTCGTAATTTACAGCAACTTTAAAGGTTCAACCTGCCACATTAACTCATTCTTTTTACTTGTATTTTGTATTTTAAGGGTTGTAGACAGGCTGGAGTTCCAGCATGCAGGTTATGCTCGCTCATGGACGCATTACAGTATGACACAGTTCACCTGTTTTGTCTGTCTTTGAAGTGAACACACACACACACACACACACACACCACAGCTGTGAAACAAACCCAGTGTGACACAAACCAAGGACGTTTCTTTGATGTAGGGTGACAGTGCTAACCATGAAACTAATATTTCTGACAAGATGTTTACAGCTTTATGTGGGTTACCAGGCAAGCATGACTGCTCTGTCATTACTTTTAAGATGGATGAGTTTATGGAGCATATTTGTGAACCTCCTTGCTAATGTTTGTACTGATAATGGAATATATTTGTTTTGAAATGAATCAATTTGGAACTTATCATGCTTGTGCTTACTGTGGCGTGTATAAAATGTGTATATCACGATGCTGTAACTAAAAACTGGATTTATTAATCTATTTATTTTCTATGGCACATTGCTTACCATCTTTTAAATTTAGTAAATTGTTGACCTAGATGGTGTTAACCTTTGAGAGTGATGATATGTTTTGTGGGCCTATAGAAATAAAAGGATGTTGTGATTTATATAGAGACAGGTTTAGTATTGTCTCCAGCCGTATAAGACACCAGATCTATTTTTGCCTCAATGACGCCCTTGTTATTTTCCAATCCCACTGCAATCATTTTACATATTTAATTGAAAAATGTACTGCTTTTGTGAAAAAGCTGAAAAAATGTAACATAAAAGTGGGTCAAGGTAAGAGGAGGTAATTAAGTATATTCCATCGTTTGCCTGCCATGTGGTATTTTTTAAATACTATAAAGTAATTGACTGTTAGTTCATAAAAAAAATGATTTATGGTCTGACTGATTTTTAAATATGTAATAGGGTAAAACAAAAAACGTCGTAAATTCAAGAGTATTTATGTCAAGTTGTGTTTTTCTAGGACCCTCAAAACAGAAGCATTATGAAACAGCTCGATGTGATTTATTGAATAAGTTGTTGAAATGAAGGTGAAGTTGAAAGTGAGTTGGAGTTATGGTGGAGCAGCTGGAGGCAAACAGACTGGTGAATAATGATCCTGAGACACAGGCAGACCACAAGTTAGTTTCAAGTAACAAAACCACAACAAATTTAAGTTTATAGAATTAAGTTTGGCTGTCGCAAAGTATCATTCGTTGAAGCGTTTGAAGAGTGGATATGTGAGACAGACAGACAGACAGACAGACAGACCGACCAGAACCATGCACTCAGTTTTATTTGTTTATTTAAATCTTTAATCTATTAATTAATGCAATGCTTTAATGTGTACATCAAGAGGAGCGATACAATTGCGCACTTGCAAATATCCAGTCAAATATCCAGTCAAAGCCACGCCGCCTTCAAGTAACTTCGGAATATGTTTTACGAAGTTGTGTAAAAAAAATAAAACAATAACGCGAAACATGGTTAAACTATATCTTCTTTAATTGTTTTCATATGTATCTCATAATGTATGTTCTCAAGCAGTAAGAGAAGCTTCTAAGTGTTAATTTGTGTGTTATTTTTGCAACCAGAGGAACCAGATTATTTAAATATCAACATTGGGTTTTTGTTTTTAGCGTTCCTATGGGGAGGTTACAAACTTCCGAGTTGTACGTGAAGGCAGCACACACTTACCCTGCTGAAAACTCATTCATCATGCGCTGCACTCCTATCGGGGCTAATGTTAGCTATTGGCCTCACGGCTTGAATATCAGCATGTCCAGTAACGATTAAATAAGCAGGTCGTAAAGTCGTTTACTTTATCAGCTAATATATACACATTTAACTGGCTTCAGCGACACTTTTCCTGCTTGGTTTATGAGGAACACGATCGTGTTATGGAGGTCAGCCGAGCGGTTATCTGTCAACAGTGTCCCAGTAAAACGAGCCTGTTTTGACAGATACCTGTTTGTTTTGTAGCGCTGGTAAGCATAAGAACTGGGTTGCACTGGAAGTGGCAAAGACGATTTGCTTAGTACAAAGGTGTTGGCGTGATTGTAAAAAAGAAACATGGCCGATCAGGTAGAGCTAAGGAGGTTGTGACTGCAGTGCAGTTAAGTGGCTTTTGATGCTAGCTTTACTCCGCTAACATAATCTAGGCTGTAATCTGGTGCTGCGTTCATGAGCACCAGTTCAATAGCTAATTACAAACCCGAGTCGATAAGCTATTTTGAGATAAGAGAGAAGCAGGGAACTCGTTATTAGTTAGCTAGTGAGCATGTAAACAGAGGAATGGGCTCTCCATGTTGTCACTAACATATGTCTGCTGTGTAATGAAGAGGCCCCACATGTCAGTCTGTTAGTGGCAGCAGCAGTTTATTACATACAGAAAGTGTCATTTTTAAGTCTGTAAAATATGTGTATGTTGGTTCTGGTGTCATTTGTTTCCAGAACATCTCAGGTGAACCATGCCAGGTAAATTAAAAGCCAAAATTGTGGCAGGGCGCCACTTGCCTGTGATGGACAGAGCCAGTGACCTCACTGATGCTTTTGTAGAGGTGAGTGTTTTTCTTCTTAATCTAATTATTAATCTCTGTAACACCATATTAATAGATGTGTGTTGTGCCTCTTCCCGTTTGCCACCAACAACTCTGGACTAATAACTCTGAAGCTGTCTATTCAAATGTACACTCAGTTTACTGCACATTTCAAGTTTATTTTACTTTTTATTTTATTTTATTTTATTTAGCTTTTTTTTTATTTTTATATTAATCTTATTACTTATATTTTACCTTATTTTATTTTTACCTTATTTTATTTGATCTTATTTTACCTTATTTTATTTGATCTTATTTTACCTTATTTTTTGATCTTATTTTACCTTATTTTATTTTACCTTATTTTATTTGATCTTATTTTATTTAATCTTATTTTATTTATCTTCTTTTACCTTATTTTATTTATCTTATTATTTACCTTATTTTATTTGACCTTATTTTATTTACCTTATTTTATTTTATCTTATTTACCTTATTTTTTTTATTACCTTAATTTCGATTCCACTGTATGTCTGGCATATTTGAAAATTGACGATGAAGTTGACTTTGACTCTTATTCATCAGGTTAAGTTTGGAACACAACTTTCAAAACTGATGTCTTTCCAAAGTCTCTCAATCCACAATGGAACTCAGAATGGTTCAAATTTGAGGTAAAATGCTTTGTTTCGTTTTTAAGCATTAAAGGTAGTGGTAGCTTTATTTAAATGCATCACAAAATGTCCAGAAAATTCATTTAATTCCAGCATTTCTAGCTTCTCTAACACTATTGTCACTGCTCCCTTCTGTCTTATTTCCCTGTTATTCTCTTGCCGTGTAGGTTGATGATGAGGACTTGCAGGATGAGCCGTTGCAGGTTACTGTGTTGGACCACGACACTTACAGTGCTAACGATGCCATAGGGAAAGTTTACATTGACATTGACCCGCTGCTGTGCACTGAGGCTGCCTCTGTCATCTCTGGCTGGTTTCCAATATATGATACCATCCATGGTACAAGAATAAACTTATCTCACTTGGATTATTGCACAGTTTATTTTCTTTATCTGTCATTCCTTATTATAATGCATTACTTCTGTCATTTTCTTTAGGTATCAGAGGGGAGATCAACGTCCTCGTCAAAGTGGAGCTGTTTAACGACTTGAACCGATTTAGACAGTCTTCCTGTGGGGTCAAGTTCTTTTGCAGTATGTCTGACTTCACTTTTGGTTCACTGTTCTTTGTTTTGTTCCTTTGATGAACTGTGTATGTGTCAGTGTCAAACAAGGAATAACACTCTGTGTGGTGTCTGTTTTATTGTCTGTGATAGCCACATCTATTCCAAGGTGCTATCGGGCGGCGATGGTGCACGGGTTTGTGGAGGAACTTGTGGTGAATGAGGATCCAGAGTACCAGTGGATTGACCGTATTAGAACTCCTCGGGCGTCAAACGAGGCCCGTCAGAGACTAATCTCTCGTCAGAGACTATTTGTCAATCTGTGTTTTCCCTCTTTTATAGGAGAGCTGCAGAGGAAAATAGGGCTCAAGGTGCTGGAGATGGGCGGGAATGCAGTGGTGGGCTACCTGCAGTGTTTTGATCTGGAGGGAGAGTCTGGGCTGGTGGTCCGGGCCATAGGTACAGCCTGCACACTGGACAAACTGAGCTCAGGAAGTGCTCCCAACACCAACACACATACACACCCTAACACAGCCCCTGCTTCCAATGCCTGCAATTCCCCTTCCAAGGACGGAAAGGAGTGAGTATGAAGCACCGACACAAGCATGGACCCTGCCTCTTTTAATGTGGCGTTTCACTGCCAATATAGCTTGCGAGAATGGGGGGAAAGATGAACCGTGTGTGCAGGAGAGGGAGAGCGTGTGGGGGCTAAATGTATTGTATGCTGTGCCTGTGTAAAGTGTAGCTCGCAGTTACTCCTGTGTGTGTCTCAGTATCTTTGATTCCCCTTTGTAGGTTGTGTGTCACATAATTGCATTATTGCATCATGGAAATAACAGCACACAACATATCCTGAGACACACACATGTACAGTACACACACAGCCACCCTCAACCCCACCACCTTCTTTGTCTGCTCTTTTATCTTCTCTTGCATGTTTTTTTTTTTTCGCATAGCATCTGCACGTCCTAGTATCACATCCTTTAGTATCGGGCTAACATTAATTCTACTATGCTTCTAAAAGTATGCTTCAGGACTTTGTTTTGGCCATTGAGTGATTAGCTTGTGCCGTCATCCATCATAACTACGGCTGAGTGCATGTGTGCCTCTTATTTGCATTTATACACTATATTCTGTGTCAGCGGTATGTAACCACAGTTTGTTGAAGACGTTGATGCCCTTCCTGTTAATGTAATTAGACCAAAAAAATTGTTTTCATCAAATGATACAGCTAATAAAAATGTTTCTATGCATATTAATGCATAGAAATATTTTTAAGCTTAATTGCTCTCTAAATTTGAAGTAGTTACTGAACATTTTGAAGGAACATAAACTCAGTCAGTTAATGTGTTATTGATTATTGGCTTTATAAATAAATTAAACGTTAGATGGCACAACTTTTACTATTTGTTGACAGTATTCAGCAACTCAACTTACTAGTACACTTCTCTGATCCATGAACTATAACTATCTTTATTACCTATTTAAATGAAATACAGCAGATAGCAGACTTATTTTCAATTCATTAATCATTTTTTCTTTAATCAAATTATTCGATTATATTGACTGTAAAAAAAAACAGATTTCTTAATTGTCTTTGATTTTACCTTTTTTCGAAGGAAAGCAGCAGATTCTTTTTTTAGAAGTTGAAACTAAATGTTTTGATTTCTTTCAACGATTAATCCATTTCAAAAACTGTTTTTCGTTCATGGTCTTGTTTCTCTTTCTGTTGAAATTACTTGCTTTTTATCTGGGTGCATTTTTGTAGAAAATCACAGTGTGGTGCATAATTATTCAAACCCTTGACCTTAACACATGTTACAACTGCAAGTTCAAATGGATTTGATTGGGGTAACAAATTGAAAGCTTCTGTTTGTTTTCTTGGATTACTCTTAGCTAAGGTCAGGTACTACCAATTGCTCTCTGGCTGACTTGGCAACAAACAGCTGTCTGCTTTTTGGACTGCTCTTGTTTTTTAATCAAATGGTAAAGAGCCCCATTAAGTCAAGTCTTTCCCACAAATAGACTTAAGGTATATTTATGGCTGCCGAAGCATTTTTGCGTTTCTTTTTTTCTTTTTTTATCTGTATATGATCACCATCGCAGATCGATAAAGTAATAGACGATCTGCACTCGCTTTATACCTGTGGTGTGTAGCCTCTGTATGCTCTGCAGGTAGAGAGAGAGAGAGAGAGACGTCCGCTGTTATGTCTCTTAAATGCATTGATTGTGGTGCGTCATTTCATGTTTAATATGAACCTCCTGATGCTCTGCTAGTGGAATTGCCAGTGGAACATTTAAAAATGGGTTGCCTTATTGTTTAGGCAACTTCATAAAACATACTGATTGCAGATAAAGATAGTCATAGGTGAGGAGGACACATAATTGCAGAGAGCGTGGCGAGACCAGCTGGGTGCATTAAGAGGAGAGAAAGTTAAGGGAAGCAAGATGATAGTCTTTTTGTTTATTTTTTAAGTTTTATTTTAGAGATTTTATGCCTTTTATTTAGAGATAGGGATTCAAACCCGGGTAGTCTGCTTGGAAGACCACAGTCTCTGTACATGGGACACGCGCACTTACCACTAGACTGCCAGCGCCCCAATTTAAATCTTCTCCCCCCCCTCCCCGTCTTGACGCCACAGGTATTCTGTCATTCTGTGGGAAACTCTGAAATCTATTAGAATTCTAAGACGTTGTAAAATGTGGAAATGTCCAAGGGGCTGAATTATTGTCTAAAGCACTGTACGTCCAGTTTGTCCTTGTGCCTGTTTGGGTATTATTTATGGTGTTTGCATCCCTTCTGTGGGAGACTGAAATATTTAGCTTACAGCTGTGCATGAGCCACCTGCTGCTATCACATGGCTTTGAATTGAAAAATATGGGCAAAGACAGGGAGTAAAAACATTTTTCTTTTTTCTTTTTTTTGTCTCCCTTTTCACTCTGTTGCAATATTGTGGTCTTGGTTCTTTGTATGCGTCTCTTTCTCCCTCCCTGGCTACATTTGGATTGGGACGTTTCTTGCCGCTTGTGTCCAAATTGGTCCTCTTGTCTTCCTCTCTCTCTGTGTGCTGATTGGCCCAGGTCTCCCCTTGCCCACGGATGCCGCTCCACCCACAACAGCCCCGTGCATTCAGCCTGCAACTCCCAGAGACTGTCCCAGAACTTCTCTGTCTCTGTTCCCACTCTCATCTTCACCGGTACGCAGAGGCAGGGAAGGAACATAGACACAGGGAATAGATATAAAGTAGGAGAAGTAGAGGATGATAATTTTATGGATAGAGAAAAGCAAATATATTTTTTTGCTGGAGTCTGGAGGGTTACGGTCAAGCAGAGGTGGAGGAAAAGGCATCAAAACAAAGAAGACAGACTCTTATATAACATCCTCCACCTGGGTTGGCAGACAAGTTCCCTGCTGCACCAGTCTGCACTTTTTCTTGCTGTACTTGCTGTTTGCAGCAAAAAAAAGGGTTTAAGGTGTGGCTTTAGCACAGATGGCCTGTGATCTGGTCACCTCTTTTTTTTTTTTTTTTCCTTCACTCTTCTGGGACACATGCTTCAGCTCATCATCCTTGTTGAGTCTATCCCGCGTCTTTTGCCGTGTTGCTTTCTTTAGTTACGTGTGTCTGTGTGTTAGTTTTGTGTTAATGTCATTATTTGCTTTCCAAGCTTGCTTTTTTTTTTTTTGGTTCTCCAGCCATCCGTAGCACCTCAAACACACCTCACCCAAAGCACACACACAAAAATCCCACATTAAAGCAGACAACGTCCCACTTTGACGGCAACCCTGACTCACTCCCATATATGCACACACACACACACACACACACACGCACACAAACACACATGCTGCGAGGGTGAGGTGGTGACTGACGTGTGTGTGTGTGTGTGTGTGTGTGTGTCATGTTCTCCTGGCAGGCCGGTATTTGGGGAGGACCTGCTCTCATCCTCTGGCCCGCCAACCCCTTTCAGAGCCCTCCCCACCTCCTCCTCCTCTCCTCCCCCTCCCTTCTCTCCCTCCAAGCCATGCAGCCGCCAGTCCTCATCATCAGACACAGACCTCAGTTTGACGCCCAAGACGGGTAAGAACATGTGACCTGCCCCCCCCCCCATCCCCCTTTCCCATTCTCATCCCTCCCTTCCCTTAACTCCATTGTGGTGCTACTCCAGTGGTGGTTTTTGACATTTTCTTTCATTTCTTTTCTGTTATTTTACATGTTTTCATGGTTAAGTTTAACATTTTTTATTTTTTATTACAACCCTTTTGTAAATACTTGTAATTAAGCTTGGTCCCATCCTCCATCTTGTCCTCAGTGGTCTGGTGTGTCTTCTTGTTTCTCACGAATGAAAACAAGCTTTCTGCTTATGTAGAAAAAGCTGCTTAATGATTTGAAGACACACCAGATCTCTGTATTAGTTTTGTCCCCTTGTTGTTTTGATCTAAGAAGCACTGTGTCTCATGAGGGGCTGTTGTTGATCGAAGGTCATATTTTGGTTAATCATTGAGGTAAAGGTAAGATTGGTGAAACTCTACTTCCAAGGGTGACTTGATGACTCATTTTAATGCAGGATCAGCAAAATCTTAACTGAAGAACACTCGTGGAGAGGACCAGAAAACCCAGAAGGCGATCTCCTTTCTTGTTTTTCTTCTACTTTTATTATTTTTCACGCTTCTCTCTCATCTTTTTGCCCCTTCTCGCTCTCTTCTTCTTCTTTTAAAATATCCTGTATTCTCCCATTCCTATCACTAATTTGTGTCACCTTGTCTATCGTCATTCTTTACATACCTGTTCAAGCAGAGCTGCAGACCTCGCCGACGTCTTCTATTGTCTGAGGACTTAAAGTTGTCTGATTCACTATCACTAATTTGTGTCACCTTGTCTATCGTCATTCTTTACATACCTGTTCAAGCAGAGCTGCAGACCTCGCCGACGTCTTCTATTGTCTGAGGACTTAAAGTTGTCTGATTCACTATCACTAATTTGTGTCACCTTGTCTATCGTCATTCTTTACATACCTGTTCAAGCAGAGCTGCAGACCTCGCCGACGTCTTTTATTGTCTGAGGACTAAAAGTTGTCTGATTCATACCTCGGTTTTGGGGTCACGGTTCGATGAGTGAGCGTTCACACTATGCAAATCCATACAGTGCCCAAACACGTTTGACCCCCAGCGTCTAGTTTGTTTGACTACTGTGAGTGCTCAGTACTGTGCTCAAGCATGGTGCACCTCCTTGGCCCTGTCAAGTTTGGTAGAAGTGTGCTTTGGCACCATATAAGCACAGCACAAGAACACAACGTGGACATGACTTATAATCGATCCCCACCTGGTTTAATCAAGAAACCCAGGATTCTAAGAGGGCCGTATCTGAACAAAAACCACTCAAAATAAGCCAGTAAGTCAGTAACGTTGAAGTCATGTTCTCTGAGTTCTCCATTGTTAGACTAGAGGAGTTTCACTGTTCCGCTAAAATAAAGTCTATGGCCATGAGTTGGAAGTCGTGAATCAATCAAGCCCCCTGAAATGTCAAAATGTTAACCGAACATTGTGTTTGTTTTTACTGTCCCTCTTGGATGACATACAATTTAGCGATGATCTTTAAGCGCTGAAATATACCCTGTTGGGCCTGGAGCAGTGTGTGTGCAGGCCAGGGGGACTGGGGAGGGGGACGATCGTGCTTCAACACGGCACGAGGCAACTGGGTGCGCCCTGTCAGTTCAGGTTAACAGGCGAGAAGGAACAAAACGTCCCAGATGCATATTTCGAGGTTTCTCTAATTTCTTCAGAACCGACAGTAAGGCAAGCTACAGTTTGTTCCATCCATATTTAGGAATACCTGAGATAGTCGATACAGCCTGTAGTAAACATTGAACAAAAAAATAAAGAAAAATAAGCAAAATTATGCAAACAGAAAGGGATAACATCTCCTGTTTGAAAATATGAAATCAAAAGAATGTCAAATATACAACAAAATACAACATGTGCCCTCGGGAGCAATTTATCATATTTCTGATTTATAAAGTGTTTGGTCACATAGTTGTTTCAGCGGTTACACAAGTAAAGGAGGATGGACTGCACATGGGATGGGACATTATAAAGAGGCTTGAGCATTTTTAATACACACTGAAAGCCGGGGTCCTCTCCTACTGCATATAGTGTTTTAGCCTTAATAATATATTAGCTACTGTAAAGTCTTCGACCCTCTCTGCTCCCACATCCAGCACACACATAATGTCCTGCTGAGAATCAAGTGAAAAATAATGACACTTCAAATTCATCTCATCAGGCTTTTCTTCTTCTTTGTTAGTGTCCCCTTTTCTCTCTTGTCACTTCCTTCTCCACCTTCTCTGTTGTTGTCCTTTTAACCTCTATCCTTATTGTTCTGCCTTTCCATTCTCAATGCATCTGTTTTTGTCTTGCACCCTCCTTCTGTTTCCCGCTGGATAGAGGTCTCCCAGTCAGTGAGACGCAGGCCTGGGATCTTCCTCTGCCCTAGCTCCCCCGCCCTCTCAACATGCACTTTGCCCCTTCCTGGTTCTGGCTCAGTGAGCTGTGTTAAAGGCTCTGTCCTCACAGCCACCACCCCGCTCCCTCTATCCACCATCCGCTCAGACTCGGCCTTGCTGGAAAAAAATTTGTCCTTCTCAGAGGACCTGCTGCTGGCAGCCCCCGGTACAGTAGGACTGCTGTGTGTCATCAAGTAACAACTTCACAACAGTGCCGCATTGGCGCCTCTTTAGAATATTGAGTCAGCAGTAGGACAATTCACACCTGGAACAAGTTAACTTGTGTGCTCAGGAGAAATTACTCACATGCATGGTGTGATTACCCAGAGTTCACTTCTAAGGATTCTGCTACCTAAGCATGTGGTTTGACATGCAAGAATGACCCAAACTTAAGCCAGGTCTAAATATCATAATGAAAATATCAAGAATAGGTAAAGGTGATTATAAAGTTAGTTTTGTAACTGTTGTTGTCATAATAACACTTATGCATTGAAATAATAAACTGACAGTTTGCCTGGATTTCTGCTCCTTTGACCTGTGTGTTCAAAATGTGTCAACTGAAGCCAGACTCTCCTCTGTGATCAGGAATGGGCAGTGGGGGCAGCGTCGGCAAGGAAGCGGGGCCTCTGAAGACCCTGCTAAGACAGCAGACGCAGACAGCTCTCGAGCAGAGGGTACGATGACACTGGACGATCACACATGCTCACTCGTGTATTTCCACACTTGGTTTAATGTTTTGATATTTAACACTGCGAAAGCAAGCCTGAGTTTCAGTGAATTTTACACAAAAGGGTTTTTGTTTCTGGCCTTGATTGACTAGCAACATGGCTTACTAGTTACTCATTGTCACACACTACTTTTCACACTGCTTGTTTCTTCATAAATATTATCACAAATCTACACTTGGGGAGGTGTTTAATGGGGAGTGGGTTTGTGTAAGAGCAAGTAATGTTCCCTTTCTTTGTCCTCTTGATTACTTATGCCACTCAGGGAGCGTCCTCCTCTGGGTTATTAATAAACACCGGGGTATGTCCCATCAGTGTGACACACTGTCTCTTCACATTTCCCCCTAACTCCCTGACCAGCCAATGGCCACCACCAAGTCTGAATCAACTCCCAACCCCACCTCTCCTCTGCTGTTTGTAGATCTCGAAGGGGACGGCTGGGTTGAGCAACATGGCACTAAGTCATTGTGACTGTTTGTGTGTTTGCCTTGCGCCCACCACTCCCTAATAGACTTGCAGACATGTAAGGCGGAGGGGCTGGCGGCTAGGAGTTTGAGTTCCCTTTATGCGTGAAGGGGCTTGCGACTGTGTGTGTTTGCCATCTGGTAAATTGTGTCAATCATCTCCCTCCTTTCTGACTGCAACGTAGAATGAGCACGCTCACCCCATCTCATGATTCTTGCGCCTTTGCTCCGATGAGAAGAGCTGTCAGTCAAATAATTGACCATCTTCCTTCCTGGTGTACTGGACAAGAAGGAAAGAAGTGGTAGTGCCACCTGATTTCTTCTCATCACATATATCTGCATGGTTGGAGATCCCAATACCCCTCAGGTTTTTCTTTTAAGGTGGTCATCACTTAACCTAAAAGGAAGCGATAAGAGAGATGCAAGCAGTCCCAAGAATTTCTAGCTCCTCGTGTCAGCGACTGCATGAATGTGCATCACATTGTTTGACTGGCCACAGAGGACCATCTGTTCTTTAAATGGACAGAGAGGAGCATGAAAAACAGAGTCCTGATCCTCAGCCAGGACTGTGTGTGTTTGTGTGTGTGTGAGAGTTTTCTTTACTATCAACTCTTAAGTCTATTTAATGCATTTATATAGATTTGAAATGATTGAATAAATCACCAAAATATAAAGAATGTATTAATCATATGTTTCCTCAGTCACTTCCAGATCTATTTCAAATGCTCCTGAGTTTGTGCCTACAAGTGTAGGCTGGAATGTATTGAGTGGGGGGTAAATCTTGCATGGCGGGGTGTGGGGGGCCCAATTACTGTCGATCTTTGCTGCATGTTGGCAATTTTCCTGACAATGTTAACTACCTTATGTTTAGACACAGAAGTCAAAGATACAGTAACAGAGCTTTTAGGACTAATGGAAACAGGTATATTAAAGCCATCACATTCCTATACACCAACACAGACAGTTTAGGGTTAGTAACATTATTATTATTATTCTCTAGTGCTGTATATTTAAAAAAATGTATTTGAAAGCCATATCTTTTACTTGTTATAGTCATAGGGGCCCAAATAGATCATGAGTTCAAACTTTCAACTTAAACACCATGACAGTTTAGACCTCAAGCAGCAAATGCACATAGGAAAAAATATATTTCCCCCTACTGTCAGTGACTGGTTCTGACTTTTCATCTGCAGGAGTTCCCCTTCTTCACCTTGACGTCTTTCCCGCCTGGTTTTCTGGTTCACGTTGGTGGAGTGGTCAGCGCTCGCTCTGTCAAATTGCTGGACCGTATACACAACCCTGGTGAGTTGAGCATGCACAAACATAGTCCAAAAGTGCAGTTTATCTCATGTCCTGTGCAATTACACGAGTGAGTTTCTCCTCCTACAGTGTTGTGTTAGTGTCCGGTCTTGTTGCAAGTGGCTGTTAGTTTATGCTGCCCATTTTCTCTTGTGTTGATGAACAGTTCTCCTGTGTATGGTGGTCCCCAGTGCCAACCTGTTTGATTGTTTAGAAACAATTATGTTCAGACCTCAGTAATGTGGGAGTCCTAAAGCAGGTGAAAGCTGTTCCCGGTCAACACTTTTAGCATGAAGTTAGGACAGTGTCAAAAATGTTCATGGATCGGGGCAACTTTCACCTCGGTTTGACTGACTGGCTTAGTGTAATGTAGTCTGTGCTGGTCATGTGAGGCTGTGAGTGTGTGTGTGTGTGTGTGTATATATATGTGTATATGCTCTGGTCACAGTTTTGTTGTGTGCTGTGGTGCTGCCCCCTAGAGGTGAAGCTGCAATAGTGGTGCATGGCTCAAGTCTGTTGCCTGCTGCTTCTGTTGTATGTTGTTTGCTGCAGGTGGTGCTGTGGTGCATTACTTTGATGTTGTATTAATGCTCTCTCTCTCTGAGATTTCAAGAGGCTTCTAATCCCTGCATCAGTAATATCCTTTTCCTTATATGTTGTGTGTGTCCTGTAGACTTCTATACATCTGTGCAAGAAACAGCCATGGTCAGAGGCGTTCTGTCTTGTTCTTTCATTAAGTCTTTTTGTGAACGCTATGATAGGCCGGTAGGATGACCTGAGGTGAACTGTTAAGGGTGCAAAGTTCAACTTGATTGCAATTTCTTTCGAGAAAATATTTTCTGACAGAATCAGGAATGTTTTCACTAATTGAGAAAGACTCATGAGAAAATATGTTTAAGATTTGTTATTTTCAATTAAGTCAAATTCAGTCATTCTGTGGAAAAAACGGATGTATCTTAATTGTAGCTTGATTGGTTTGTGAAATTATTCAACTGTAAGGTAATCAGACGTTTGATTATTACGCCTCTTATCTACCTGTTGAAGCTCTTAGGCTTTGTAAATTCAGTTGGGAGCCTCATATTAAGGCTTCACTGACGAATCTTGACTGGGTTAGGATAAGCAGGGTTCTTCACAGAGGGACTTTGGGGGGGGGGAATCAGCAATCCAAATCGCTTTTAGGTTTGCGCATAGTTAAATAAACTGAAGGTGTGAATCGTTCTGAGGAGAGCCGTGTTCACTCTTGCTGTAAGATAAATGACTATAGCCTTTTCATTGTGCAATTCAGCTATACAGCGCCATAATGCATCTCCAGCGACGTTACGCTTTAAGACCATGCAACAACATATTAACAGAATGCAGCAGTGTAAAAATCCTGCAGTGTCCACACCTACAGAGTGGGGTATCAGGGGTACTAACAGAGGCGTGACATGGACAAGGCAGGATCAGCAGAGTCAGCGGGGAAGAGCAGTATGTGTATGTGGAGCTCCCCGCTGTGCCGTGCTTTTGCAACGCCAAAACTTAATGTGAATTCTACAGACTTAGACACCAATTTTACACTGCAACATTATGTACAAAGACGTAATGACGGCTCAGCTTAGTTACAGTGCTGTTGCGGAAACGCAATCTGAACAGAGCTTGTAACTTCCTATTGGGAGTCTTAATAGGGCTTATATCAACCTGAGAGAAACATAAAAGGTGCCATGTGGAGTGTTTGCCAGTGGTACATGTTTATTTGTTTTATGCACTAGCACACACATGCACTCTGAGTGAATGCAATACCTTCTCCATTGTTTCACGCAGTTCCACTATCTTGATCATACAGTAGGTAGTAACTTTAACAATTAGATTTAAAAACAACAGCTTTACAAATTTATAGATTTACACAATCCATTTTGGTTTTCTTTCTTTACAAAAAAACTCCACAGTGCACCTTTTTTCAAGAGTACAGATCATAAATTAGTTAGACTGCTACTGCATGCTTCTTTTTGTGTTATATAGTTGCATTGCTCCTTAAGTCTTTTAAAGATGTTGTCAAGGCCAGTAGCTTTTACCTGAATATAGTGTCTTTTCAAAGTAACCGTGAAGTGGTGTCCTCCATGCATAGTAAAAGTGAAGTGCTGCTGTTGTGCTGTGCTTGGTTGTTAGACTGTCTCTTCTTTTCTTTTTCTCTCTTTTCTGTACTAACGGTGTGTTCTGGCCCAGCCTTGGGTAACACGCGCTCATACAAACTGCTAGACTGGAATAGTGTCACCGCAGGTATTTCCCCCCCTTTTTCTGCTCTCACCCAAGGAATGGTGGCAGCTCAGTGAAGCACCCAATACTGACATTTAACATCAAACATCAGATGATCCAAATATCCTCAAACAAATGAATCACAAACTGGACAGTGTATCTATGAAAAGTCACAAATTACTGAGCTGCCACCCTCGCCTCTCTAATCTGTGTGAGTGTGTGCTGAGCTGAGTTGAGCATGCGCTGAGTCCCCACCCCACCTCATCCAGCCTTGCCTGGCTCCCCTGCCCCCCACCCAGCTCAACCTGCTGCACAGCAGAGCTGCAGCTCTGCCCTAAGGTTGTCCCTTCGCTGTTCTACCGCTTTCGCAATCGGCATCAAGGCCAAACCTGTCTAGACCGGAGGAGGTTTAGGAGGTTTACTCTGTGACAAAGAGCCACTGATCTGGCATGTGCAACCCTGACTCACTGGGCCGTATTCATACTGAGAGTGATTGGGAAGGAGGGATGGATGGATGCATGGAAAGCAGGCTGATTGGATGAGTTGAGGGAAATTAAAAAAAAATAGATTGGGGATGTATGATGGGGATAGAAGAAAAGGCGTGAGTTTGGGGAAAGAAGGAAATGTGGTTGCACTCAGTATTCTAAAACTCCAAAACTAGACTAGATTTGATGGACTCTGGTGAATGAATATGGCCCTTCTCTGCCCATGAGCACATGGTCATGAGCGTGCACGTTGGTGAGCCTGTGCCTGCGTGACATGCTGCTTCTGGTTTAAAGGAACCCACTTTGTGGGCCCTGATGCCTGACCATTAATCATTATTCTTCATCCACTCAGTTGATCTCCCTTTGAGTTCCCCTCATTCATTTCTTCACCTTTTTAACCCTCAGCATTTGAGTTGATCTCTCTTTGTGAGCTCTGTTAGCATGTGGCCCTCCCAGGGAGTCATGGGGTACAGCTCAATACCCGAATCTAGCTAATCTTATTTTTTTTTTTGGTTCTGTGACTAAGAACTAGCAAACCAATGAGTTCAGAACTGGCAATGATTAGGCTCTCCTGAACAATGTTAATGTTAATGTCAATGTTAAAAGTGAGGTGGTATTGGAGCAGTCCTCATGAGCCTATTGAAACACATCCATGGTTAAGCTGTATTATGATGAAGGCTCAATCCTCTTGACTTTGAAACCTTTTCACCAGGGTAGTACTTAACTTTTACAAATGTGTTTTGTATGTATTTTACTATTTAACCAGATTTTCTTTCTAAAGTCAGACCACAAAAGGGAAAACTTTACTAAAAGCCTAAATGTATAAGTCATCCTTTCTGTCAGTGTGGCTGGCTGAAAGGAGTTGTAGAGTAGAGAGTGAGACACCATGTAGAAACATACACCTAACCATTGACTTTGCCTTCATCATCATCATTCTCCGTCTCTCATGACATCATTCTCATTGTCACCTTGTATCACAAACTTCTAGTTGGTTTTTGCTTGCTTTGATTCACCATTTAACCCATAAACCATCAGAAAACACAAACTGTCATTTATGTAGTCTGTTTTTTTTCTTCTGGTAAATCTAAGCTGTCAGGGTACACTCATTATTAGTCACAAACAGGGGTGTGCGATATTGACAAAAAACTAAAAACATCTCGATAATTTGGGGGATTTTGTAAAAAAAAAAATAATAATAACTTGTGTTCATAAAAGTTTTGTATTGTACTAGCTTGCTCTTGCTAATAATATATGGATGTTGTCAGAGACATTATCAAGAAGTAGGGCCTGACCTATATGGGATATTTGGCGCCAATACCGATATCAATAGTGGGGAGAAAAAAAATCTGATATGGACACATTGGATGATATGTTTCTTTGATCTATGTTCGATCTGTATAGATATAGATATACACATTTAATGTGTTGATCCCTCAAATGCCGTTATCAAACACTTGTAGAAAAGATATACAGTGTAATGTAGACTAGATGGTCACTCAACTGGAAAATAACCTTTGAAACTCTGAAGAGTGATGATGCATTTTGTAATCCACATAGCGCCCTCTGCTGGTGAAAGAGAACTGCTAGTGTAATTCAATGATAATCAAATGAAATGCTATTTGACCTGTGAATACTAATCATATGGGCGCATATCTGCGACAGAATAAGTCGATACGATAGTCATTTGATATATACTAATATCGGCCTGGGGGATTAATCAGTTGAGCTCTATCGAAAACAACTTTTTAAGAAAAATGCGTCTTATTTATTAATTTAAGACTTAATCACTCAAGTAAACACAATAAAACAAACCAGAAATCACCAGAGCAAGTGTTGAGATGAAACAGATCAAGTATGAGTAAACCATTTCAAAGTGTCCTACAGGATTTACTTTGTAAAATATTGCACCAAGACCAACAAAAACTATTACGTTAGCATTTTAAACTAGGCTAGACAGCATGTAACCTGGGTTCAAAGTAGTAACAAGTTTTTTGAAAACATCCTAATCAAACGTTTGAAATGGAGCCATATCCTTCGCAGTGTAATTGGTGACAGCGTTTGTTATTTCTGTTGCCCTTCTTGTTAAAGGTACGCTTGTTGAATGATTCTGCAGAAGTTTTCTGAGTGTGTTTTTGCTTTGCCGGTACCTTAGCTTGTCGGTCGTGGTCGACCACTCACTCCCCCCCCCCAAAGCTTTTCATATTCTTCATATTCTGTGCGATGGTTAATTTGTAGATTGGTGAAATAAGTTATTTGTCGAACTGTCTTTAACGCCAACCGCTTTCGGACGTAGTCTGCAGATTCAGATCCATCTTTTCAAAGCCAAAACACCTTGATGCGAGTCAGGATGAGCAGCGTCTAGCAATTAAATGTAACAACGTTGATTTTCGAGGCTGGTGGTGTTTGTATTTTGTCTCCTGGCGCTGTTTTTTTACTTCAGCCTTGCAGGCAGCTTCTGAATGTGTGGACTCTGAAGGCGTGTTTTGATTGTGTTTTGTAAAATGAGTGACCTACTCAATATTGTTTCACACATCAAAAAGACAACAAATAAGATATTATCTTATACAATATATATCGCACACTCCTAGTCACAGACTTTCAGATTTCCTGTTAGCATGTTTTTAGTTTTATTAATGCACTGTTTAGACCACTAGAGGTTTTGATTTAGCCAATCTAATTTGTCTTCTTTGAAAGCTGTTTGATTTCAGGATTTTGTGTTTTTCAGATGAGCCAGAGACTCGTGACGCCTGGTGGGAGGAGATCCGCCAGGAGATCAAATCTCACGCCAAAGCTCTTGGTTGCCATGCTGTTGTGGGTTACAGTGAGAGCACTAGCATCTGGTGTGTAGACATATTTACATTCATGTGAAAATACCACATCTTTATCCCTTTTTGCCTGCTTTTCACATTTTTAAATCACTTCAATAAAACCAGTTTCCATTTGCCTTAAACACACATGGTCTCTTGTGTTCTCATCCTCTCCCTGTTTGTTCTCTTTTGATCTCCCCCCACTCACAGTGAGGAGGTGTGTATCCTGTCAGCATCAGGCACAGCATCCATCCTGAACCCTCGGTTTATGCGTGAAGGCTGTCTGGACATTGGAATCGCAGACCACAGGTTGGCACGGCTCAGAGACTGAGCAAACAGACCCTTTATATGTGTACAGTGTGTATCAGTAAGGATCGTATTGAGGCTTATACCAGATGGTGTGTGTGTTGTTCGCCAGGTTTGAGGAGCCGTCCCCCCCGAGCTGTGGCTTCTGTCACATCCCATATGATGAGCTCAACATGCCCTTTCCCGCTCAACTCACCTACTGTTACCACTGCAGACGACAAAAGGTCTCAAATATATTTTTTATGTTTGGCTAAATCAAAGGCTTATTACAAATCATTGGTTGTCCATTGAATCAATACAGCCTGGTGATAATAAGAATGAAGTATCTGTATTAATTGTCCTGTTTTTCTGTAGGTTCCTGATGTGCTGTTCACAACAATAGACTTGCCGTCAGAAGCATCTGTCACGGGGAAGGGCTGCCTTATCCAGGCCAGGTTAATAATCTCAAAGTGAAATGGTTCAAACTCCATATATCATGATTTCTTAACCTGAGAGAAACAAACCAAATCAAGTCAAATAAAGCATCTACTGTTTCTTATACCACAATGCCTTAAACTATAGCATTTAGTCTTTGAAAAGTCTCAAAATATCAGTCTTGGTATCAATAAAATCCAGCTAATCTAAGAAAGGGAGCCAGAAAGTAAGGTTTTCTTTTACAATAATCCTGCACAAATAAAGCCCTGGTTAGTTCTGCAGTTGAGGTTATTTATGGTCACTATTGAAGAGCATTTGGTATGCTGGGTGCCATGCTTCACATTGAAATAATAGAAAAGATGATTAAGACATTCGATGCTTTATATCAAGTCTGATAGCGACATACCGTAGATGTTTTAAATGACAGGGGTACCTAAGTTCTCCGATTCAGCAGCCACACCTATGTCCTCTGAAAATGTTTTCCCAGTGTTAGAATGCAGGCTCTCATGCAAGACACAAGTGACTTTCATGAAATAAATGCCATTGTTAATTGTGTTGTAGGCTGTGTCGACTAAAGAAGAAGGCACAGGGGGAGGTGAATGCAACAGCCATCTCCAACATGCTGCCTTTCATGGAGTACGAGCTTCACACACAACTGATGAACAAACTGAAACTGCGGAGCATGAACGCTCTGTTTGGCTTGCACATACAGATCAGTGTCGGAGAGAATATGCTCCTGGGTCTGGCTGTAAGTAGACATAAGTTAAAAGCTTAATTAGCCATACGTGTGTTTTCTGCAACACTGTCATTTAAATATGTGTGTGTGTGTGTGTTCAGTCCGCTACAGGTGTTTACCTGACAGCCCTGCCTGCACCAGGGGGCATCCAGATTGCAGGGAAGACTCCGGGAGACCTGAGCAACGACCATATCTCTACCATCCAAAAACGGATCAATGACACCATAGCCAAGAACAAAGAGCTCTATCAAATAAATCCTCCGGTGAGACGCACAACACGTGTAGCACCGCCAGTTACTCATTCATCACTGCAGCTTAAGTTTCTGCAGTGTTTTTCTCCACCCATTCGCCAAAAACAGAAAACATAGTCCATAAGAAACCTTGAACACAAAAGTAAATACTCTTAATAGAATGCTTTCATTATTTTTTTGTTATTAGTTTTGGAATTTTTTCATCTTTTTTTGTAGCTCTTTTTTAAATTAAGGAACTGTATTCATAAAAAAATGTTTTAGGGTTTGAGTGCAAACATGTAAGAATGACTTATGATTTCTTCCTCTCAGTCAGTGGGGTTTGTATGAGGTACTTGTCAATGGTGAATGTTTTGAGGTGCAGGTTATACCGAAAGAGCGGACAGTGTGCCAGCTGGGAAGCTCAGCTATACATCGCTGCAGACGGAGCAACTTGTTCCAAGTAATTTAGTTAAAATGAAGAAAAACTGACCTAAAAAGACAATCCAGATAAGTGTAAACAATGGCTGAACAATATTAGAAAAAGCTGAAATAGCAATATTTTTTTTCTGCATTTCATATTGTGATTAAAAAAAGGAAGTTATACCAGATTAAAGCAGTATCTTTTTCTGTACATTAATTACAATTTCTATCAATTTCAAACAACTACACTTTTAATTTAGGTCTTTAAGTTATTATCAGATTTCAAATCTAATCCCCACCTCTTACTTTCATCACACACTGGGTCCAGCCCTGTAACAGCGACTGCAGAGCGCACACACATGGACTAGAAAGAGGAAAGGTGGAGAGATCACAGACGGAGCGGCATATTTCTTTATCAACTTCATAAATAAACTTGTGGCTCTCAATTGAGTTATTTATACCTCAAGCTGAGTCATACATTATTTACCTGAACAGCTGACCAGTGCGCTGCAGGTTTGGGAGCAAGTAGGTGTTGTGTCAAGAAGCTAGTGCTCCAACAAAGTGACTACTTTATGGAAAATTAAAGCGCTGGGAATTTTCATTATATATAACACACACTTGACCCGACATTGTTTCTTGGGTTGTGTTTTTCTAAAAAAATTAGCTAAACATGGCACAAGTTGTCCCAACCGACCGCAGCGATGTATAGCTGAGCTTCTGTGCCAGCAATCTCGATGAAGAGTCAGAGCTCACAGGCATCGACTTTGGCTAACACACTTATCATTGACGAGTCCCTCACACAGCCTCACTTGAAAAAAAAGAACTATCCCTTCATTATGGTTGTATTTTCCTCTGTGATTCTTTTACACAAATACATTTGAAACAGGTCCATTATTTTATGGTTATCTCTGTTCCAGTGGTAAAATTCTGTACATAATCATTCAATAAATGTAGTGTGTTTATGTGAAGCGTGATAAACTTACCCCTCTTGTCTCTCTCTGGTCGTTAAAGAAATTATTTGCCCTGGACCCTGAGGTGTTCTGCGGCATAAACATGGTACTGAACGCGGCAACTTTTAGCTGTGTGACACAGCAAAGCATGATGAATACTTCACTGTATTAATCAAAAATTCTACACTACTTTGACTATTACTGTGTAACAGCTCTTAACTGGGACAAAGGAACTATTTGTAACCCACTCCAGAGTCACCTCTAGAGGGCAACCCACTGTAGACTGTATCTGTGTTCTTGCATATTTATTATGACCACCTACCCCGCCCATTCACACTCACCTGTGTATGTTTGTGTGAGCGTACCATTCCTTCCTCTTCCAGATTCATATGCACATTAACACCAGCTGTGCGTGTAACATTTGCAGCTGACTGGATGCTTGAGTGAGTGTGAGCATGTGGTGTGTGTGTGTTTGAATTAACATAGTCTTTTTACTAGCGAGACAGATGTGAGATGCAGATGTGGGCTGCTGCTGTGGTGTTCTGGTGTTCAATTTGACATCTCTTATGATCAGGCCTCGTGTCTCTGTTTTTGCCTGCAGGAGCTGAACGAGGAACTGGTTGGTTCTCCAATTCCCGAGCCGAGACACCGATCCAGACTTTTTCGATCTCACTCGGAGAGCTCAGACGAAGTGTCTGAACTTGACCTCTCCCACGGCAAGAAGGATGCCTTTGTCCTGGAGGTATGTATCTAAAACAAATTTAAAAAACACATGTAACTATTTCCAGCGACAAGAGTAAGCATTGACTTTGATTTCCCCAGATTGATGACACTGATGCTGTAGAGGACATCCACTCCCTCCTCATTGATGCCCCTCCTCCCTCAGGTACTCTCAATCTACTCACTCCACAGCAATGACAGCACTTCATCACACACTGCTCATGCTCAGTGTGTAACCTCCTGAATGAGGCGAGGTAATAACATTATTATACATCTGCTTCCAACATCCTTGTTTCAATTCCCACTTTTTTTTTTCTTTAGGCTTCTACAGCTGCAACACTGAGGTCATGCCTGGAATAAACACCTGGACTTCAGGAGTTCAGGTTACCCTCCGTTATTTACTTCACTTCCTTTACGTACACAGCATTCTGTGCATTCAAGAAGCTAATAGGAAAGAAGTAATATATTGTGGTAGCATTTTAATGCATGCACAGTGGGCAGCTGTACATGATTTATATCTCATTATCCAACACACAAAACTATTAATATTTCATTTCATTTCATATTTGATTTATTTGCTCAATTCAGTGTACGGTTTCAACACCATAATACACAACAAAAAATATTTTCTCATAATGCTGAAACACTGTTCATGAGCAAACAGGAGCAGGAAGAAGAAAACTTAGAATACCTGCCCCTTTCCTAATAACACAAGATACTATTGAACAGAATGAGATGGCTAGCCTGTTGTTTTCTCTTTCTTTCACAAAACAAAAAATAGATCAAAAATATAGAAACAATCAGTTAGATTAACTCAATACATTCATAATTTCCCAGAACCTTTTCTTTATACATTCTTTTAAAATGAATGATACTTCAGCAGCATTTTAAATGATTATAGAGAGAATTCCATAATTTAACTCCATTTACTGAGATACACATTTGTTTTAATGTAGTGCGTGCAAATGGACTTTTAAAATGAAATCTCTGTCTATGATCCTCCTCATTAGATGTAAATACAAACAACTTCTGTACATTTTCGGGTAAGGATCTGTTTCTAGTTTTAAACATACTCTGTACAAAACACCAAAACAGTTACACAATTTTCTCTTTACATATTCTATGTGAGGTTTCCACGTCAGTTTTTCATCAATTATGACTCCCAAAAATGTTGCTTCAGAAACTCTTTGAATGAGAACACCGTTTACAGACATGCCGATGTGTTCCTCCTTTTTTCTATTTCCAAAAATCATAAATTTAGTTCTATTCCAGTTCAACGACAATTTATTTTCATCAAACCACAATTTCAGTTTATCCATTTCACACACTATAGTCTCTGTAACGGACTTCAAAAATATTTGTGTCATCAGCAAACAAAAGAAATTGCAAAATGATAGAACTTTGACAAATGTCATTAATATACAGATTAAACAATTTTGGGCCCAAAACTGATCCTTGTGGGACCCCACACATAACGTTTTTAGACTCAGAGTCAAAACCAGCAAACTGTACAAACTGCTTTCTATTTTCCAAATAACTTTTTAACCATTCATGTGCAATTCCCCTAATTCCATAATTTAGTAATTTGGATAATAACAAGTCATGGTCTATGGTCTATATCTTCCAGATGTTTACATCAGTGAGGGTCTTCAGGCTGAGTAATGCAAACCTTACAAACCAAGGCTTGAACAAGATCTTCACTGACCTCTGTGAGAATCTGCTAAAGGTAAGTAACACAAGCAGTGCCGCTCTTTCTTTTATAACAGGCATGAAAACTGTTTCACTGTTTATGGCCTTTTGCTGCTCTGTTTGTGTTTTGAATGAAGAGATACAGATCAGTTTCCTGTGTTTGTTACAGAGTTTCTACTTTAAGTTGCGCTCGATGATTCCCTGCTGCCTTTGTCATCTCAACTTCACTGTAGCAGTGCCAGAAGACGAACTTATACAGGTGAGAAATGTCTGACTTTGCCTGATTGTTTTGCATCAAGAGTTGATGGTCAAAATAGAACCTTTTCTTAATCTATAACTGTGCCTCTGTTTATCTGTATCCTCCCAGGTCGCAGTGACAGCAGTTGCTATGACCTTTGACAAAGACCAGACTCAGGAGAAGCCAGCAGAGAAGCCCATCACCAAAGGTCCGTCCTGTTTGGGGAGATAACTTGTTTCAGTGACATTTTTATTGTTTTATTTTTCTTACACAAAGGATGACAGATAATGAAACCTTGTAAGCATCGCTCACTTTCGTTGCAGCTTGCTAAGTCTTAAGGAAATCCACTTTTATAGCAGTTTAAATATATTTTATTCTTAGAGCTTTTGTTAACATCTTTGTATAAACAACATTTTCCTTGCACCATAACAAGGGCTCATAAATATTGAACCACTGCCGGGCTGAAAGTAAATTGGAAGTTGTGAATTTTATTTATTCAACATTTTTTTACCAGGAGGTCCCTTGAGGTGGAAATTTTTATTTTTCCAGGGAGACCCGATCAAGACAAAACAGCGCTTAAAATTGAATTAGAAATAAAACAGAGAACACAGAAACTAAGAACAAAAGGGGAAAAAGTTAACCCTCAAAAAAAAAAAGGTCAACGCAATTCCCAGCTCTGCAAATTTTCGCTTGGGTCTTTTTAAGATCATTTTAGGACAGAATTAATTTTTTTGATGATTAAAGAAGCGATGAGTAAATTACACGGATTAGCACATCTTATTCTTTTCTCTCATTTTCTGAGTCCAGTAGTTGAGGAGTAACCATGCTTCGATAGGCTAATATCAATGTTTAACAAACCTTTAACCGCAAGAAGAAACACAAAAATGCTTTTAAGAGTTTGTTCCAGTTTTAGTGAAGTAAGGAAACAGAACTATCCTCTCAAGACGAAGCTCCTCTAAACGTTGTAGCCCATTTGAGAAGAATCACGTTGGCTGTGTTTCTGTGTTTGAAATCTGGCTAAAGCCGCCTCATGATTCTCTGTGTTACCTTTAGGATCTGGTGACACTGAAGAGCAGCTTCAGTTCTCCATGGAGTTGTGCGCAGACTCATCTCTTGCCAACTCACAGCCACCATCCAAAATCTCAGGTACATATTTTTTATCACTCTCTGACCTCTTTCCTAGCCCCCCCCCCTCACTAATAGGCATTGCCCATCTCCTCAACTAATGCTTTAGGTACAGTCTCTTTATTCACTCCAGCTGCAAAGCTCTGCCACAATCAGCTGGTTATGGTTCATTCGGAAGGTAAATAAATAGTGATGTTTCAAAGCACCTACAGTGAGAAGTTGTGTTTTTTTGACTAGACGAGATGTCATCCTTCTTACTCGGTGTAGCAAACTTCCCTTCATTTGAACAGTAACAACAGGAAGCCAGCAAGTACTCACTCTAGAAGGCGCTTTTTGGTGTGTGAACATTATTAGATTTAGGAAAGGCAAAATACCTAGTGCTGTGTGACCTTCTTGGAATGGTCAAAGGTCAACCTTGAATTCTTCTTGCTTTCTGTCAAGTGCACGGACAGACTTTGGTCTCTTTTCCTGTGTGTGTGTGTGTGTGTGTGTGTGACAGGTGTCCCAGAGAGTTCAAACATCTCATCTAGAGGTAAGCCTGAACCATTCTCAACTGTACCATCTCCCTGCTACCAAAACTACTACACTGCCCTGTTTTGACTTTTCATCCTTTAGTCTCGGACAGTTGTCCTGCACTGCTCCCAAACCTCATCCACTTTTGTTCTTTTCTTTTCGTTTTTTACTGTGTCCTGTTTGTTTTATTTTGTTTTTCTGTTTGTTTTTGTTTTTTCTCTTGTTGTGTTGTTGCGTTTATGTATGTTTTGGGTGTGGGCTGTGTTTTCTGTGTGGGTGCGTGTGTGTATGCGTGTATGCGTGTGTGTGTTTGTGTGTGTGTACGTGTGTGTACGTGTATGTGTGTGTGTGTTCTCTCCAGCTGCCTCCGTTGATTACGGTTCCTTTGCAGACAGATGCAGCACCTGGCTAGAGCTGCTTAGGCTGAAAGCTCACACCATAAGACGAGGATCAGTTAAGACAAGTAGGAGGACACAGTCTCTCACAAACACAGAACACACGTATACAACCAATCTTACACAAGAAAGTACACACACACACACACACAAATGCATACGTGCTCGCGCGAGTGAGCTCAAACACCCCTCCATGCTTGCCGCTGGGCGGGGAGGGCGGAGCATCTTACACCAAGCTCCGGCTATTTTGGCAAGAGTGTGAAAGTTGAAGCACCGCCCCTCAGATTGATCAGCAAATCAGCAGCTTGGCTTTGAAATGCCTGTAGCCTGGTAACCATGATTGTGATTTTATACAAATTTTTGGTTGCTATCAGCGTGCTTGTTCTTCGCTTGATCTGTAAGCACTTTGATCACAGTAACACGATTTCTTTTTTTGATTTTTATCTGCATTGGCATCAGCGAATTGATCTCAGCTGAGAAGAATAAGAAATGAATCGAGTTAAGGATGCAAGGGTGTACTGTACATGCGCAAATCACATGTGGTCGAGATCACAGTGGAGTGGTTGGTGGCACTGCTTTTCTATGTAAGATGTGGTGTGATTTCTAGTCCTCCTGTGCACTGTAAGTGAACTACAATCTAACGTGTGGCTCTGAAGGTTCCTGGTTTGATGGATGTAAAAGCCACTTCAGGTAAAAATTGCAGTAAAATGATGGAGCATCTTTCACACTCTGGCTCGTGTATATGTGCCCAGCTTAGCTCATAGCTGTCTCTGTCCGTCTTCATTTCTCAAACCTCTTTCCAAAATGCAAACAGATCAATATTCCTCTCATGCACTGTGCCTCACTTTACTGCAAATACTGCATTCACACACATGTAAATGTACACAGCTGTGCCCAGGTCTGTCTGTCTGTCTGCAGACACTGTTTAACTGTCTCGTCTGTTTGCTCCGACTGCATGCCGTGCACGGCAGCACACGCTTTCCCAGTGATTGTCTTGGCACCATGCATCAACAACACTGCATGTCAAGTCACACATGTTCCTAACACGCACAGACGACTGACTGACTCGCATACAAGTTCACACACGTTGGTCCGTCCGTGCAAATGCTAGCAGCGTTGCATTTTTTGCACCCACATTCCACATTCACATTCCTTTCTGCTTTTCAGTTCATATTTGCTTATGATTTTTCAAACATACTTGAGTTTTTTTTTTCCGGTCTCTCCATTCTCTTTTTTTCCCTCCTCTCCTCTCCTCTCCCCTCCCTTCTTGTTTTGTTTCACATTCCCTTTTTTTTTGGACCTGCTCTGTTCTGAACATCCAGTCTCGTCTTTGGAGCGCTCCAGTCCGCTGCCCGATGGACGATCCCGCTCGCTGCGCTCTACACGCTCGTTCGGCGGCACTTCAGTCACTGTGGTGAAGATGACGCCACTCTCCTTCTTACCTGGGACGCGCATCATTAAATACCTTGGGATCATCAACATGTTCTTTATCAGAGAGACTACTTCGTTGCGAGAGGTAACACTACTAGGACAGGTCACATGCATAGGCCATAAAATCAGCTTTTGCAAAGTGTAGACCTGTACCTGTGTTTGTGTGTTTGTCCTCTGCAGGAAGGCGGGGTCAGTGGCTTCCTTCACTCGTTCATAGCGGAGGTGTTTGCGATGGTTCGAGCCCATGTAGCAGCCCTTGGTGGTAACGCGGTGGTTTCCTACAGCATGAAAGAGTGTGTGTTTATGGAAAATCCAAACAAGAACCAGGTACTCTCCCAAAGCAATATATATCATTAATACACATCCTCAGAGTTAACTGTTTTCCCACGGTTTAATCTTCCTATCTTTGTTCCTTCTGCAGGCTCAGTGTCTCATAAACGTGAGTGGCGATGCGGTCATTTGTGTCAGGGAATCGGACCCGGAGGCCACTCCCTCGATGACTAATTCTGCACAGAGCTGCAGCAGTGAAACAGACACGGCTACATGACAGTGAAACAAAGAGCTGTGCTTTGTCTGCAGGACATTCAATCCGAGTGAACACTCTCCCTGAGTCTAGCCGTCCAAATATGAGTCATTTTTATCTGCCTTAAAACTCCGTAAAAGATCCAAAGGTTTGGACACAGGTAATAAAGAACAAGTTCTCACACACACTCGGATGCATGCAGTCTGTGTTGATATAGGAGTCGAGGATATTTCCTTTTTGTTTTTGTTTTTTATAACAGCGAGCATTTGTGAAGGAGATTCTGATGTACCGGTAGCTATTTGGCAATATGGTCATTTAAAAACGTTGAGGGTGAAGCCTACTGCCAAAGTCTCCCTGCTATGTATTAACAACCATCCATTTCGGCCATCTCTTTGTGCGTCAACACAAGAGACGCCTGAGGCAGCTATAACTAATTTGTCCGTCCACAGTTCACAGTGGGGGTCATAACATGGACATGCCAATAGGGATGCAAGTATATTCAGAAGTGTTAGGTAGGCTCTGTTTGGAGTTTCTTTCAGAATAGAGGCCCATCGGTTGACTGGTCACCTAATAACTGTATGAAACATGGCATTCATTCAAGTTTCAACAAAACAGGTGCTTCCCTTCAAAACTATAATTCAAACCTAACTTGAGAATTTTTAAGCTAGAAATTGAGAAACCTGGACTCGCTTTTAAAACCATTTTCTGATTGTTATAGATAATTGGTTTACACTTTTCAAGTTCTTTTGTATTTTATTTAGATTCTGTTGATTGCTAAATGTTATATTTCTCACACAGGCAATATCCTAATGATAATCAAATGTACTCATTAAGTGTCAAATAATAATGTCCCAGATTATTCTTTTCATATTTATTGAATGACGAGTCAAATTTAGGCAACGATAACAGAATTCTGAACATATTTTTATATCGCATGGTAAAAACTGATGGTAAAGGGTGATGGGGGGAAATGTTGGATGGGTGAAGTATCATAAATGCAGTCTTAGTCATGTATTCAGCCATTGAGGTTTGGGACATGGGATAATACATAGAAAACAGTCTTCAAAAATGTTTCTGGTTGATTTCTACTTTACTCTGTGTGTATATAGGGGCAACTTTTGCAGGATCAGTTCCTCTTCTTGCTGTCTGTGTCAAATTTAACTAACCTTTGTCAAGCCTCTACACTGTCTCTTTTGAAATCATGTTTTTAATAATAGTCATGCTACTGATGAGTCAATCATTTATGTTCAATACTAAAAAAAAGCATCTTCTGGTGGAGGTGACACCTGGAAATATACCATGTAAATGTCTTCTCAAATCAGATTTTAGTATTTTTGTAACATGAAATATATGAAACCTTTATGGCTTATTTGCCTGTGCAATGACTTCCTGATGTTTTGATTGGCCGTGTCTGAGTATTAGTGGTACTCTTATCTCTTGTTGTGATCAGTTTCTAATATTTGTGTCTAAAACTTGAATGTACATATTTAGATGCTCTTGCTTTCTCACTAGCAGCATGCAGATCCACTTCTATTGCCATAAATCTGTATGCTTGCTCGCCTGGTTTAGTCTTGCACAATAAACTCAGACGAACCAAGATGCATCTGTTTGATCATCATCTATGATAAAAACTGCAGAAAGACTTTTTTTTTCTTGGTAGACAGGAAGAAAGTCAAAATGAACATTACACTGCTATGTGATGCCAATATGAACCTTTCAGCTGTATTTGAACAACAGGAAATTGCTCATACCAAAGCTCTTCGACTCATATTTGTTCAAGAGTAAAGATCTGCTACTAACAATCTGCTGTATACACACGTCTTCTCTTTTAATGTACGTTTTGAACAAATGTGTTTAAGTAAGTGGTCAAATTTGTAATTTTTTGCACATTTCTTTAAAATGAATATCAAGCTTTTTGTTTGATTGGATCATTAACAAATAACGGCACACGAAAAATAATGAAGATCAATAGTTAGTTTTATTTATCTACACAGTGTTTGATATTTTTGGTATTATTTTAAAAAACCCTGTAGTCTATGTACAGTACATTATAAGTAGGCCAGGAGCCAGGTCCATCTCTCAGGGCTACCTTTTTTTTCCACTAGTATTTCTAGTTAGTTCATACCACACAACACTTCATTGTTAATATCACTGAGCTATTTATACTATAAAAAAAAAAAAAACCTTATTTATAACCTTCAATTTGAGCTCAAGATGACCCTGAACATTTCACTTTCTATGTCAACCCCCAAATTACAACTCCAAAAGTATTTTATTGTTCAGTTTTACACAGTCATTTTAACAGTTTCTTAACACGTGTTATCTAAACAAAGTCATTAACACATTTGAATGACTGCAATGTGATCAAGTAGCTAACCATCAAGTGGAAATCATACAACCGTGTTTTTAACCATTTAACCAATTAAAAATGTATACACCTGCTTTTATTCATACCAAAAAGGCAAACACAAAAACAATGTCACAATCATTGACTTCACTGTACACATGGGCGGTTCTAGGCAGGGGCCCCTAATAACACATACACAGTATTTGAGTCAACAACCGGACTCACAATCTAGATATAAATACTGTTACTGAAACAAATATAAATCATGGTATTTGATGTTGTGGTATTTGATGATGTGTGCTATTATTTGGCATAGTATTTATATATTTTTTTAAAGCGATCATCTTTGTCTATTTTTCACCTGGGTTTAATGTCCCCCTCTGACAAAACAACTGGCCCCAGTTTGGCCCCCTCAGTGAAACTGGTCTAGAACCGCCACTGACTCTACACATTAAACATCATAGTCAAAAAGTAGTAGGACTCATTTGAAGGCATCATTTTTAAGTTGGTGAAAATGTTTTTAATTGATATATTAGTCAAGTTTGAGTGACACTAATACTCAGCTTCTGTTAATGGAAACCCCTCAAGTAAAAAAAAAAAAAAAAAAAGTAGCAGAATGAGGAACATTACCGGCTATCTGGAACCAAAAAAAAACCAAAGCATGCTTCTTCCGACGCAACCTGAATGCAGCATAATGCCTGAAAAAAAAAAACCTGTAGAGACATCTTGTGGCTGTGAAGTGAAGTGAACATCTTCCGCTCACTGCTACGTGTCCCCCCCCGGCTACGTTAAACCCTAAACCCCCGCCCCGTCCACACAGGAACAGGCAGCAGCGGCTGGTTGTTGTCCCGCTTTAGCAGCTCAGACATGGGGGAGATCACGCTGCCACGGCGCATGTTCCTCTGGTGCATGGCGGTCATATACCTCGCTGCTTTTGTTTCCCTCTATGTGCAGATACCAGGTGAGACTCCTAACTGTTCTCACTGTGTTCAGGGTGGGCTCACAGAACTTAAAAGTTGCAGGTAATGCGTTAGCTTCTTAGCTGTGGACTTTGTCTTCCTGTGCTACTCATGCCTCGAAATGTGCAGAATAATCGCCTGGAAGTTTCTCTGTGTGGCCGCAATGAAATGTTCTCCTGCTCTCTGCTGACTCTAAAGGCTAACAGCTGCTAAGAGAGGGACTCAGAAGTGTTGTGAATACATGAATGTATGAACCAGAAACCCTGTGTGACGTCGTCCACGCCCATGTGATGAGCATTTTTTTTATTGAGTTACACTACAAATCACACAGTCTCACTCATAGACTGTAAATATTATATCTCATATTTTATATCTCACTTCATTTTCATTTTTACTTTAACTTCATTCACCACTTTAATTCTAATTTTAATAACTCTTGCCACAACTGGAAGTGAACATACCTTGTATTTTTTTCTCCCTTTCTCTGTAAATATGTTTGATTTTTAACTTCTTGCTATTTTTTTTAATAATTATATTCCTGTTTCCTGTTTTCTTGAGCTGTTGTAACGCAAACATTTCCCCCATGGGGGATCAATAAACTTTATCTTAATCTTTATTTCTAGGCAACTGTGTAATGTATTAGAAACACTTTTAAAGGAGTTTGTTTATCTTGGGGGGGGGGGGGGAACTGCCAACATTGCAATTGGCAATGAATGGATTTTGAAATCATTAACAAAGTAACCCATATTTTCAGAGTAGTTTGTTTAAAAAGAAATAATAATCATGAATTAGAATAACAGAATTCTTTCACAGTTTTTTTCATACTTTAAAAAACATGCAAAAATGACATACATGTCAGAGTTGTGCTTGTGTTTTTATATCTCTTGTGGCGACAACTGTGTGGAAATGTTAACAGAGAACCGAAGTATTTGAATGAGGAAAGATAACAAGTTTTGATGCACAATAAAACCTCCTGTTTTAAATAGTATAATAATACTGTGACACATGCTGTCGGCTTCGCATTTTGCAGCAGAAAACCAGATCAGCGCTCATGATTTCTCACAATAGTGAATACCATTTGATTTCTTTCTTTTTCTCTTAACGTGTATTTGATCAATCTGCAGGTCTCTATGGTAACGATGGACTGATGCCTGCTCGGAGGCAGCTGCGACATAGTGGGAAACCTCTCGGGGAGCAGCTGCTGTCCTCTCCCACCCTTCTGTGGTTTGGCCCCACGCTCGGCCTGGACACGCACACCGCCATGGAGCTGCTGTGCATTCTCGGCGCTGCGCTGAGCCTCGCTGCTATCCTTTTTGAGGCTCTCAGAGACAGCGTGGTGTTTTTCTTCCTCTGGGCCATGTACCTGTCCATGTACCAGGTGAGTGTCGCCTGACAAGTACCTGCTTGTTTTTCCACAGATTCCTGCAGTCATTTTGCTCCTTCCACTCATGTTTTTGATTCTTGTCTCAGGTGGGGCAGGTATTTCTCTACTTCCAGTGGTAAGTGATGATTCATGGATTTCTTTTTTGTAATTAACACCGCAGTGCTTTAAATAGCATCTCGTCAAAGGAAAGGTTTATGTCATCCTCAGCCCACTGTTAATGACACCACATGTTTGTCTCTGCTGCTGTGCAACAATAATGTAAACATCATTTCACTACCATTGCACTCTTTCGATCCTTTTCAACGTTGCATTGTTGATTTTTTCTTTTTCTCGTCTTCATCACTGACCAGGACAGCTTGCTTCTGGAGACCGGTTTCCTCTGTATCCTGGTTGCTCCGCTGACATTAATCCGAGGGTCCCGAGCTGTCAGAGAGCACGATGGTGTGACCTTCTGGCTGATCCGCTGGTTGCTCTTCAGACTCATGTTTGCCTCTGGTGTGGTGAAACTCACGTCAAGATGTCCTACATGGTGGGGCCTTACAGGTACATTTGATTATGTGTATAGAAGGGCGAAGAGTGCTTTTTTTGTTTGTCTGTTTCATGTATTTGTTTGGATCTACATGAGAAATGTCGACTTTTTAAAGGAACTGATAAAAATGTAATTTTCTCATTTCTTTTGATTAATATTGTTTTTCCATGTGTGTCGACCAGCTCTTACGTATCACTATGAAACTCAGTGCATCCCCACACCGGCGGCCTGGTTTGCCCACCAGCTACCAGTGTGGTGGCAGAAACTAAGCGTGTCTGGGACCTTCATCATCGAGATCGCTGTACCTCTGCTTTTCTTCAGCCCACTGCGCAGACTCCGACTCGGTGCTTTTTACCTGCAGGTGAGTTATACTTTGATTAGTCCCTTTTTTTTTTGTTATTTAAAAAAAAAAATGTTGTCATTTCATCTTCTTTACCTTGCCTCTGTGACTTTTCTTAATGTTGCTTAGTGCCGTGCTCAAGGTGGATTAATGTTGAGTCTTTGTAAATAATATAACAGAGTACGGTCTAGACCTGCTCTTTTTATTTAAAGTGTCTTGAGATAACTTTTGTTATGAATTGGCACTATACAAATAAAGCTTGATTGATCTTAGAAGTCTACTTCATTGTTTTTCCTAACACAAGTTTAACCCCAAGGTCGTCCAGTTGCTTATGCTTTGAAAGTTGCACAACAAAATTCCTGAAAACAAACTACAGTTAGCTAAGGTTTGCAATGTTATGGACTGTTTTTTTTTTTTATGTCACCCCACTAAAATGAGTGATGGCAGCAGGAGTTTAAAACACAAATATGGAATAATATTCTTCTTCTCCTTTAGGTGCTTCTTCAAGTTCTCATCGTTTTCACTGGAAACTACAATTTCTTCAACCTGCTGACTTTGGCCCTCTGCCTGTCACTACTGGACGATCAGCATGTGAACTTCTGGCTACGCAAGAAAGACAAGGCGTCCAACAATGGTATGACAAATGTCACTGTTGTTTACACATGCAGTCTGAACAAGCTGATGAAGTTGATAAAGATTACTTTTACCGGGGTGGATTTGTTTAATGAATAGTAATGGTTCTTGGTGTATTTATTTTTGGAATATGTTGCCATCAGCTGATATCTGTTTATTTGACACCCATTGCCTGGAAAATCAGTAATCTCACTGTGATCGGGAAGAGTTTAAAAGAACAGTACGCTTTGAAAATCTGAATTTGGACCCGAGATGTTTTTCCTTTCTGTCTGATAGTGTATTTCTGATTATCACCACCATGCTGTCTCTCTCTCTTTTCTGTCAGACTCCAGGTGGTGGTCTTGGCTGTGTTACCTGGTAGAGCTGGCCGTCTGGTCTCTCCTGATCTTTGGATCAGTTGTGAGCTTTGACCTGCAGCTGGATGCAAAGAAGAAGATCATAACCTCCAGGACAGGTGTGTGAGATTTATCAACTTTAATTACATCGTTTCACATTTTTGTAGTTTTTTTTAAGTTAACATGTATGTCCTTGCAGCATTCACATACCACCAGTTTAACCAGTTTCTAAAGACTGTCACCATCCCCTGCATCTGGATCGGTGTTCTATCCCTTACCTGGGAGATGATCAGAGCCATGTTCAGGTAGGACTCTCCTTTGTGTGTTTGTGGACTTTCTTGAATGCACATCAGTGAGCTTTCTTTGTATTAAAGAAAAATGTGATTGTCCAGCAGCAGAAGCAATAAAAAAACATGTGTTCTGTTTTTGTAGGTGTGCATGTAGATCAGGTTTCCTGAGGAGGTTTTTGGGAACTGTCCAGTGGACTCTCTTTGCTGCTGCCACCGCTGCCATGTTCACTGTTAGTCTGGTGGGTAGCAGGTGGTTTAATTTAGTTTTAGAAAGTTAATATCATTCAGTTTAACTTTATCAAAACCATATATACACTTGGTGGATGGTTGAAAATGGAGTTTTTAACATGCCTGACCCTTCTTTCTCTGATCTGTTCCTCTGTTCCAGGTGCCGTTCACATATATCGAGTATGACTCAAACGCCAGGTTGTGGCCAGGAGTGCGTCAGGCCTATGATCTGGTGGATCGCTACCAGCTGGTGAACTCATACGGTCTGTTCAGGAGGATGACCGGGGTCAGTGG